ATGAGATCATCGAGTATTCAGACAAGCTGTAGTTCCATTGTAAACATATTCGAGTGATTGCACTGCATGCGTTCGAAAAGACATTTTGGAGCCATTTGTCGGAACATTAAGTCGTTAAAAAACGCTCGCACGGTAACCGTAGCCTAACGTGGCACGGCCAACGGGTACAACTGTGTCCGCGTCTCGATTCGCCTCCAGTTTCGTAGTAATTTTTCATGGTAATCTTTCCCAGCGTGGTCGGTGTCGCGCGACGATATCGAGACTGACGAAACGTGCGAGGTGACGCCTCGACGCGGATTATTAGATTTCAATTTAGATCGGAGGTGGAAAGAGTCGAGACGGGGCAAGACGAATCGCTCGGAAAGCTGTCCCCGTGGACGACGTGCCACGAGTTTTCAATCTCTTACTTCCGGATTTTTGAAAGCTCCGTATTCTCTCTGTCTTTACACACTCTGTGACTCCTGCACGCTGTTCTCTTATGCACGCCTAATTGCACGCTTTTACCTAAAGGAATACTCTTGATACGTATATATATATGTATCTATATATGTGTATCTATTATGTATATGTACAGTATCATCTTGCCAATGTTTCATAACTCTCGTTTACGAACGGCTCGTTTACTATTTTATTTAGCGTGTGCTATCGAGTCGACCAAACAAGTATCATCGTAGATCGTGAAAGGGTGCGTTTAGATCGCGCGAGCGAATGTCCGAAATCCGTTACGAGCGAAATCGAGGCAACTCCATGCGGTGTGATTCGACGAAACGCGATGCAATTCGACGCGTTTCGACTTAGCGCGATTCAACTCGACGCGGTTCGGTTCGATACGATCCGAGTCGGCTCGAGCCAATTCGACGCGACCCATCTCGACGCGATTCAATTCAGGCTAGTGAATATTCGAACGGTCGATTCAAATTTCACGAACATTCGCTCGCACTCAGCTGTTTGGAACGATCGAACAGCTACCTGCCCCGTCGTTCGGCTCGTTGCCCGAGCCCCGGAGCACCAGAGAGCTCAATTTACTACTTACAACCCGTGGCTGGTCTGAACGCACCGCAAGATGATCCGTGACATCGAAACGCTCGTCGAAATTTCGCTTCGGGTGCTAGTTTTCATTCGTTGACCCGGTCTGTTTCGTTGGAACGCGCGCACGAATTGGCCGCCACGAAATTAAACGGAAATTCAACGTCGGATCAGAATTTTTCGTTTAATTTTGCGCTCGATGGAGCCTGTATCGAGTTCGATGTCACAGCGCGAGATCGCTTCCACTTTTTCAAAGTTACCGTATCCTGGTTGATTTTCATCTTTGCACACACAGAAACAGTCACGCGTGTATGCATCGTTCAGCATTAATATGTTTCGGCGAGACACACGTAATGTTACTTTTTGATTGAGTATATATATATTACATTTTATATATATCCATCTGTATGGTACTCTTTCCACGACGGATCGTTGCGAACGACGCTCGAACCACGATCTAGTAGGAGTCGTGCTCTTTTTGGACCGTTCCGAATGAATCATTAACACCTTTGTTGCTCTCGATGTTTGTGTTGTATCTGGTATATCGATTCACGTATTGAACTCGGATCTCTGATCGAGTTTATTATCACTGTATTATCACTTTGTAGAACAGTATCTTTTTTATGAAGACTATGCTATGTTTCGCTCGAGATATTCTCTATGATTTCTGTACTTGTCATCTCATTATCATTATCATGGTCGTTCAAGTTATATACTGTGAAACTTCGATATTTTCCTGCCTGACTAATCCCCTATCGGGAACTCGTGCTGGTACACGATCTAGGTACGTAATCGCAGACGCCGACCTTTCGTCATTTCACGACCCGGGTGTTCAACTCTTGACGCAGGAAAATATCGAACTTCTACTGTATCATTGAGTAGTAAATCGTACGACGAAATCGACGCGAGCGATCCTTGGATAATTTAAAGTAATCGATTCGAAGCAACAGAACTGTCTGATCATGTATGAATTTCTCGAAGGGTCTCTCGCGTTCTTTCGTCCTAGTTTTCACGCTCGTTTCGATAATTAAACTGTTCATCGTCCGTCTATAGGGCCTGGTAAGTAATTCAACGGGATCGATGAATATTCGAACGGTCGATTCAAATTTCACGAACATTCGCTCGCACTCAGCTGTTTGGAACGATCGAACAGCTACCTGCCCCGTCGTTCGGCTCGTTGCCCGAGCCCCGGAGCACCAGAGAGCTCAATTTACTACTTACAACCCGTGGCTGGTCTGAACGCACCGCAAGATGATCCGTGACATCGAAACGCTCGTCGAAATTTCGCTTCGGGTGCTAGTTTTCATTCGTTGACCCGGTCTGTTTCGTTGGAACGCGCGCACGAATTGGCCGCCACGAAATTAAACGGAAATTCAACGTCGGATCAGAATTTTTCGTTTAATTTTGCGCTCGATGGAGCCTGTATCGAGTTCGATGTCACAGCGCGAGATCGCTTCCACTTTTTCAAAGTTACCGTATCCTGGTTGATTTTCATCTTTGCACACACAGAAACAGTCACGCGTGTATGCATCGTTCAGCATTAATATGTTTCGGCGAGACACACGTAATGTTACTTTTTGATTGAGTATATATATATTACATTTTATATATATCCATCTGTATGGTACTCTTTCCACGACGGATCGTTGCGAACGACGCTCGAACCACGATCTAGTAGGAGTCGTGCTCTTTTTGGACCGTTCCGAATGAATCATTAACACCTTTGTTGCTCTCGATGTTTGTGTTGTATCTGGTATATCGATTCACGTATTGAACTCGGATCTCTGATCGAGTTTATTATCACTGTATTATCACTTTGTAGAACAGTATCTTTTTTATGAAGACTATGCTATGTTTCGCTCGAGATATTCTCTATGATTTCTGTACTTGTCATCTCATTATCATTATCATGGTCGTTCAAGTTATATACTGTGAAACTTCGATATTTTCCTGCCTGACTAATCCCCTATCGGGAACTCGTGCTGGTACACGATCTAGGTACGTAATCGCAGACGCCGACCTTTCGTCATTTCACGACCCGGGTGTTCAACTCTTGACGCAGGAAAATATCGAACTTCTACTGTATCATTGAGTAGTAAATCGTACGACGAAATCGACGCGAGCGATCCTTGGATAATTTAAAGTAATCGATTCGAAGCAACAGAACTGTCTGATCATGTATGAATTTCTCGAAGGGTCTCTCGCGTTCTTTCGTCCTAGTTTTCACGCTCGTTTCGATAATTAAACTGTTCATCGTCCGTCTATAGGGCCTGGTAAGTAATTCAACGGGATCGAATGAGAAAAGAAAGCCAAATTTCGCGTTGAATTCGACCCCTCCCCCGAGACTGATAAGTTTACGCGTCAAGGATTACGAACAGCAGGGATCTGGTTCCATGCTCCTCTCCAACAATTTTCCTCTCGTCTGTAGCGTCGTTTACTTGCAACTTCATCGAGCAACAGCCTTGGAAAAACACATTAGTAGTTGCCTCGGGTCATAAATGTTCATTTTCTGGGCTGCGGGATACGCGTGGGAGGCCATCGCCGAATATTTATGACCCTGTCGCAGTTTTTCACGGAGTCTGATTTTTGTGGGGGAGCTTTGTACCTGTTCCCTGTCGAGAGGTCACGTACAACGATACGCATCGATAAGTTCGATAATACTTGTCGAACTGGTCGAAAGTTTAGACGAAGTAGTATAGCCCCGTGTTTGGTCAGACAGCAAGGTAATGGCCTCGCGCGGGAACTACAGGGTGTACCGAACAGATGACTTTCTTATTATTATACTTATCATATTTATTCTTATCTACTGCATTCAAGTTTGCAATTGTCATTATCGATTTTAATAACGATACGATTAACACGCTATTTTCTTTTCTTTATCACCGTTCGTAACTGGTTGCACTGTTCACTAACATAATGTTCGAGTCGAGATTTAATTGAATGTTCGTGTACCAGCTATCAAAATTATTTGTTGCAAAGATGAGAAACGTACGAAGATTAATGTTTGCCGTCGAAACCGGTACATTTTTCTATCGTATCATCGATCTAGGTCACCCTGTATACTCGTAAAATCTACGCAGATTCGATGGACGAACAATGTTTCGAATTTCATGCTTCGTGGCCTGCCGTTCTCCTGTTTCGCGACGAGACTTCGCTAAACTAACCGAACCAAAAAAAAAAGAAGAATCGAAGCGAAACATTCGAAATAATTCGATCGGACAAGCACGCGAGAGTTGTACGCGGCATCAAGGACGCAGTTGAAATTACAGAAGGACTCGTTTCGTCCTTTTTGTAGTTCGTTTCGGGATTGTCGTTGCCGCCGAGAGGAACATTAATTACACCGGCTTCGTTCTCTGGAATGGATTAAACTCCGAGCAGTCTGTATCCCCGAGCTGTATTTTAATGTTAATTTCAGACGTTTCGGAAGAAGATTTATTAACTTCCCGTTGTTTTCGACGAATAGCCACGCTATTAATTCCGCTTCACTGCCAAGTTTTGCTGGAGTTTTTCGATTTCGATGTAATTATCTCGATGCGCTGTCCAATTTCGCTTAGATTCGATGATCCCCGTCGACTTAACGAATTGTCCACGCGGACTGAGTTATTTCTCGTACATTCACTCGGAGTCTCGTCATCGAAAGGGGGTTGTACGTGTCCCCTCGAGTCGCGTTCAAAGGAAGTCCTACTCACCTTCTTACGATTCGTGATCGGACCGGTACCGGTATCGATACTCGTGAAAATTACCGGTGTCACCTGGATATTATCGGTATTCTCCAAGGAAATAATCGTTACTTTCGTTGATTCGGTATCGTTCCAATCACCGTTTCAATCATTCTCCCTCCGCCAAACCCACTCCATGTCCCAAAAAAAGAGGAAACGAAGACGGGAGCGTGGTCTCTGTTCGAGATCCGCGTATAGGAGAGCCGTTAAGGACGGCATGCAGGTACATACTATTATCACACGTCACGTTTATAGTTCCACCGCGGATCTCGCCGTTTTATTTCGAGAACGGTGTGACGGAGGGGATGAGGACACAGCTAATGTGTACCACGAGCCAGGGTGACCAGCCGTTCAACATCACGTGGTTGATGGACGACAAACCGATTCAGTTCAGATCGGGTGACGGCGTTGTGTCGGCGTCGGCATCATCGTCGTCGTCGTCGTCCTCGTCCTCGAGCGGATCCACCGCGGCCGTGCTCGGGACAGGCAACAACATACAGATAAGCGACTATCCGCCGTTTTCCAGCATCCTGACGATAAATAACGTCAGCGCTAAGCACAGCGGGAACTACACGTGCCAGATCAGCAACGTCGCTGGCCTGGCCGAATACTCGACCAGCCTCTCCGTTGCTGGTTGGTGTCTCAAACGAGCAACAACAAAAAACGACATGGTAGCTGTAAGAACCTGTGTACATAAACCGTGTGTGACCACGACACACACCTGTCTGTCTCTCTCTCTTTCTCTTTCTCTTTCTCACTCTCTTTCTATGTGTGTACGTGTGTATATACAAGGATGCCTTCGAAAATATGTACACCGCAACAGCGGTATGTCCTTTGCGCTAAAACAAACTGAACAGATCTTTGGGATTTCACATTCTTTGTGTTTGACATGCTCGGAAAATGATCAAACGTTTCGAGAGTTAATTAAATGGAAGTTATCGTAATCCCTTTTGCAGTCTGGGAATTCGAACGAAAAAGAGCTAAAGGAACAATTGGGAGTAAGCTTTGTGACTTCGTATTAATTATTAATTCGAGGATTCGTCATCCAAGTGAACAGACAATATTTCGGAAACGAAGCTTCGAGGTACAAATTGATAAAGGACTTTTCATTTCGCTTTGACGCGAAGAATATACGGTTTTTACCGTGTACATTTTTCCTAAAAGGCATCCTGTATTCACGCACCTATATATATACACGCGTGTATATACATATCACGGCACAGAAACCGAGCAGTCACTATGGAGGATTGGAGTACCTACCGGTATATTTCTATGAAATCGATTTCGTAGACAACGTTTCCGGTGACCTCGTTGAACACTTTCTACCTCTTATCTCGATGCGGTCCTATTTTGTTTCGTGATCCTTCGGTGCGATGACGTTTCGCGAATGGATTAAGTCAAACGACGTAGCCAGCTTAGAAAGGACTCGGAATTCATGGACAGCCCGCGATGTATCAGTAAAAATGGAGAGAGGGTACAGCTTTTGAAAAAAGGTTTTCGTCAAAGAACACGTAGCATAGTCTGCTTTGATAACACACATCTTCGATAAAAGCGGCGAGAGAGACCGGTTGTTTGATGTAGGTTACGCGAGTTTGCGCAGTACGGCTGAACAGTGCTTTCCCAACAATTTCATGCGAGAGCAGAACAGAAAGATTGGGATATTAAATTACGGGAAACGTATTTTCTCTTATTTGAGGTAGGTAACGGTTTCACGGTCCCAAATGTGCTCCCCAAAGAAAATAGCGAAGAACCGCGAAACAGATGTCCCTCGTTTCTCCAAGGACCTCGGCGGTCGGCGTGCAATTACATTTCTCCAACTACACTCTTTTCGCGGTAAAACGTACAACGAACGACCCGTTCTTTTTTTTCTTCCGTATTTTTTTTCGTCGCAAGCACGTTCTGGCTGTGTGCTCGTTCTCTGCAACGACATTTCCCCGTGCTCCTCGAAACGGCATTACAAGCCTAGTTTCCTCGGGGGTTAAAGTTCCCTGTGACAGTCGGATCGAGGCTCTCATGAGGATACGGTCGTAGGCAAATTAGTTTCGAGTTCCCGAGGTGGTGCATACGGTAATGCGACTTTTCAAGAAGTTCCAGGAGCCGCTCGACGATTTTCGAAAGTCGCCACCCGTTCCTTAGACACGATCGAATGTAAATCAGCCCCTGTCTGCGCGCGAATGGAACTATCCGAACGCTTTCTTCTTCGACGAGCACCGAGTTCCGTGTCGTAAGAAGACCACTGCTTTCGCTTGATCCTCTGAAATTTAAATACGGTACTTTCGGAACGTAACGATCGCGAAGAAAGAACGGTACTTCTAAGAGGAAGGAACACTTCTGATACTTTGCGGTGTACGCGAATCGAGGACACGAAGAGCGTGACACGTCGTGCCACTGTGTAATGTTCTTCTCGCCATTCATATTCACTAAGAGTGGCCTCTCTTCGCCGGTGAAACACGTGCGTAAAAACTGCCGTAAATTCGGGTTATCCCTGTTATAACAGGGAATCAATGGGTCCATGAAACGTACGCTCGTCCCTCGTGATTTCGATATCGTTTTTTTCTCGCTCGTTCCCTAGTTCCTGCACGAGCTTTCCCATCCGTTGAAATAACACCGGCTATGTTTTGTGCAACTAACGAACTATTTTTACACTCGTCCGTCCAATCTGATCGCGAAAAACACGGTACATCGTCGAAACAATACCTCGAATATAGCTCATTAGCTTCCGAAATAAACATCGAACAATAAACAACGTGAACTCTGTTCGAAACAGTTGGGTGCATTGTTTAATCTTTCGGGAAACGACCGTGTAAATATATTGTCTCTTGGATGTAGTATATCGGCTCTTACGAGCGGGGCTTCTTCCGGACGATCAGAAGCTATCGATCGCGAATGTACTGCTCGTAAGAACGTGGATTCGACGGTACACCGTTCAAATGGCAATGTAAGGAGCCATCAACGTGGACTTAATCGGAATCGCTTGGGACCCGATAGCGCAGAATTCGCGGAAGTCGTTCCGGGGTCGAAGTTTTCGCGTCAGCCAAACTTAATGGGCTCAGGGAATGCGGTGGTAGCCGTTCGAAACAGTGGTCGATCGAGTGGAAAATAGGGTACGCGATTTCCGACGATCAGCGAAAGCTTCGGGATGATAAGAGCTACAATGACCATCGTCGCGATACCGGAAAGAAACGCTCGCGATATCGCGTAGACGATAAGAAACAGTCGACTTTCCATTTATTCGCCGTTATTATAGCGTTACTGACCCGTGCTTCGAACGTATCCCGGTATCAAGATGTCCCGAACGATGATACGGGCCGGACGCGAGTAACGTCTGGCCAGTTGGACAACGACCGAAACGTTCTGATAAACGCGAACGTTAGCTTCGTTATCGGTAGCACGTATCCTAATGCGTACGAAACGAGCACTGTACACGTTGCTCGTCACTCGAAAACCATTTTCGACGAAAATGTCTGCCTCGAAGAGGGAGTACGAACGCTTCGAGTGTCTCCGGAGAGATCATGGCGAGAATCAAGGATCCACGAGTAATTTAAAGTTGCCCTGTGATGGACTCGGGTAGTCGCTTGAACTTCTCGCTGGAATGCACGGTTACCTCGTTACGGTACGGATTCTCTGATAAATTATGCTCCGCTGCAGCTCTTTCGAGCTACTTTGAAGATTCTCTTTCGGTTAACGGATTCTCTGGTGGCTTCTTTTTAACATGCAACGTCCATGCGATAAACAGAAGTCGTTGAAAGGCTCATTTGCCTTCGTCAACATTAGCGCCGGCGGCCGTAATCGCTTTAATACGTTTATCATTTTTCGAAAAATTAGATAAACGACGACGGAAACTTTATTTTACTTGACTATAAATGGTCATTGCTCGCGGCGAAATAGTTAAAAGCGTTTGCTCTGCACTTGGAAATTCGTGTAACTGGTGATATAAAACGGAGCGGAAAAAAATAAGTGGAAAATATGGAGATAAATTTTTTTCTACCAGAAGAATTCTTTTCCGAGAAAATCGGTTTTGAAAGCGCGCGCGGTACTCGCGTTTCCCTGACCATGATTACTTTTAACGATTTTTGCTGTAACACACTCGAAGCGAAAACCTTTTACGAGAAAACTTCGCCGTCCATTTTCCACTTAGAATCTCGCGAAAAATTGTCGCGTTTTCTCTCGTACCGCTAATCATAAGAATCTTTGTACATCGAGAAGCAATTAAGCGTTGATTTTCGTCGATCGTGTCGAATCGAATCGTATCGATTCAAAGTTTCACGCTTTGGTCAACAATTCGAGATCGGAATTTCCCACTGGTTTTCCGTGAAAATGGGTCCTGTGAAAATAGTCCGGCATGGTCGAGATTCCAACGATGTTTGTCCTTCGTGCCAGAAGAGTGGAAGTAAATGCGCTTTTAGGTTCGTCCGACGTTCATCAGCGAGCGCCGTCTTCCTCGCAACAGGTTTACGATGATGGTCGTGCAACTCTTATCGGGAATTTTGTGTTTGCCATGTCGCTCGACGGTCTTTTGTCGCCTGCGTCTTTCAACCCGGAGAAAGAATGAAAGTCGAATAATAGCGGGAACACACAATATCCTTGAAGTTGGCGAAAATGTTATCGCAACGACTTGAGCAGTGCCGTTGGAAGGATAATGTTCCATGAAAAGGGTGTATACCGAGTTTGACCGTAATGGCTGAAATCGTGGAATAATCTTTTTTTCTCGTGAAGCTTTGTCGCGGAGAAAATTAGTTTTAACTCTACTCGTTTTCAATTTAACGATCGAAATGACTACAGCCAAATATTGAATTTTAAGTCACCGCATCAAAGAATTTTCTACTGTTCCGCCACTTTCGATTATCTTAGACAAATTTGAAGTCGTAAGTGTGACCCATATAAAAAGACAGTCGCAATCGGTTTCGATGGCATTGTTCCGGTCAGTCGAGCTATTTCAACTATTCCAGTTATCCGGATCACTGTAAGACTCGATAGCAAGTATCCGAATCCAGGTTACTAGGTTCAACGAAGGCTATTTCCCGAAATGCCGGGAAATCCGCATAGCGATCTGCATAGCGATTTCGTAGAATCGAGGGGAGACGTCCGATCGGAAGTGTCCGTTCTTAGAGAGAGTCTCTGTTCGAGAAAGCTTGGATTTCGTTGAGGCCGTTCGGAGAAACGTAATGGGAATACTCCAATCCTCTTGGAGGTGACAACACTCTCGCGAGAAAGGGTTTAACGACAGAGAGGAAAAAAAGACACCACTCGACAGGGTGTAGACACAACCGGAAGCTCCAGGATCCCCTATATCTGTCTTTCTACTTACGCAGCACAAGAGAAATAAAACGAATACTTGTAAGGACGCAGACTAACGCGATTCACTTCATCTTTTCGTTTCGTCTTCGTTTTTTTAATGCATGCTAACTCGACGAACCGGTTAACCGCAACGAACACGAATTTCGAGGACAGGGATATTTCTTTCGTTCGTGTTAACTTGACCGGAAGGGCACGGTGGAAGTTAAAGGTTACGACGCCGAGTTAATTCGTCCACGCAGCCGGTAAGGCGAGAAAAGAACAAGACAGAGAAGGAGGAAAGGATATAAGATAAAAGAAAAACGAGATGAACGAAAGTTCCTTCATCGTTGTTATTACTTTCTTTTCTCTGTTCATCGTTAACAGTAATTGTACATCATCACGATCATCAGCATTTGTAAAATGTTCGATGTAGATCTCGACAGTTGAACGAGTTCTTTGATTTTAGAATTAGACACGTTCCTTTCTTTTATTCAGAAGTTATTTTCCTTCTTTTTCTTTATCTTTTTCTTTGTTCCGACGCGTGTTTCGTATATTATAGTTAGAGTATCTCATTTAACATCTTTTTTTTTTCAATTGTTTTTCTTACTTGTAGCGATTTCGTCTACCGAGAAATTTAATTATTGTGCTCGTGTAATGCAACGAAATGTCTGTGACGGATGTAAAGCATGCGTTCGCGTAGTTAACGTTTCTGGTTCGTGCGTTCCTTTTTTTATTTATTTTTTATTTCGTTTTCTGTTGTTTCAGTTTATTTTGGACTTACAATTGTGTCTCTTCTCTATTATTATACGAATACGAGCAACTTGGAATGACGATGGAAGAATGTTGGAAGTAACGTTTACATTATTATACTTGTGTGCCTCGAGTTTTTCTTGCGTGTTTTCTCTTCGTATATTCAGTGACAAGTAACGTGTTTTTGAGAATATAGGTACCGTTTGCGTTGTTCGTACGTTGTTCTTTGAGCCGTTATTACATTTATATATATTATATATTTATATCTCTCTTTTACTTGGAATGATGCCTGCCGTGTTTTTATATTTTAACGAATAACGATTTTTTGCATGCGACACTTTAACTCCCCTTCGCCATACTTTTTCTCGCGCGATATTTTTCGATAATCGATTTTTGTTCATACATTAGCACCATCTACAACTCTATCGTTTTCTCCCTGTTTATTTCGTTACATTTCACCCGCGTTTTATTTTTACATACGTTTAGTTGATTTATGCAAGCACGTTTCTTTTTTCTTTTCCCGTTACAAATGCACGTTTTTCTTGTTTCTTTTCAGACCGATTACATTCAGACTGGTTCTTTCGTTCGTTTAAACGCTGCTCGAAGTATTTCCTGGTAATTAGTTCCTTTGATTGAGATAAACGAATGAGTAAACATTTCTCTACCTCCCCCATTTTAAATGCGACATCGTCAATTCAAGTAGTCTAACCACACAGACAGCATCGGTTTGTTGAGACACGTTGTTGTTTACACTCTTAGCGATGCGTAAGTATACAGTACATCGAACTCGTTTCGAATGCATGCGAATTCACAACACGAATACGCGAATACAACAGCAACACGCGATCACGAAGACAGTGTAGTAAACGTAGAGGCACAGAAGACCGATTTTCGTCGACGAAAAGCGTCGTTCGATCATCACCGTTCCCCGGGAACAATGGCTAATTAGACTGACAAAGAACACGCTTTTATTGTTCCTCTCTTACCTGTCAATGCCGAACGAATTAGCTTCACAGAAAACAGAGATAAATGTTATTCACTCACTGCCAGTATTATTCACTCGCTATTCAATTCTGATTAATAATTTTTCATTTTGTTTTTATTTCATTTTGAATTAACTTATGTACGTAATATTTAAACAGCTGTGCGAGCATTTCATAGTTCCCTGTTACATAAATTTATTACCTCTATAATGTATCATCGTAACAACTCTGCAATGAAATTAATTGAACTATTCATGGCTCTACGGAACTCAAATATTACAAGTTTCATCGGTGTTGCGAGTTTAACTCAATTAACCAATTCCAAACGTTAAATTAGTTTAACCTCTTTTCTTTCAATCTTTATATAATAACGTAATTTTTAATCACTTCGATACCGGCAATTTTAAAATATCTCGTCAAAGAAATATTTGAAAGGAACGAAAGCTCTTTGGTGTATTAATATCCAGTTCTAAGACCAATGCTTTCAAACGGAAATCTCTTACATAATAAACTGTGACGTAATTTAGAACTTTATTTTATCGAATACCCAAGGAATTGAATAGTGTTACGTCTGTAGAAAATACGTTCTATCTTCGGAATCGGTAACAATGCGGTCGTCTTACGAACCGATAGAATCTGTCTCGATTTTTTCGTCGAAAATTTCACACCTTCTTCACGTATCGGATGAAAGCGATCAAACGAAACGAAGTATTGTCGACGATCGAGAAACTGGGATCATCGATACGACGAAGAATTCCTCTTGAATACCTGTGGGAACAGAATCGACGACGAGGATCGGTCTTAGGTTCACGATGGAACGCCGGTTTCGAAACGAGCCGGCGAGTTGAAAGATTTTAATCCAATCGGATCGTATTTTTAGTGCCACCACGATGGACGGTAGAACCTATGGACCAAAACGCCGTTGTAGGTCACGGCGTCTCCATTGCCTGTCAGGCTGAAGGATTCCCTATTCCAACTGTGACTTGGAAGCAATCGATTGGTAAGTCACGATTCCTCTAAGCCGGCATACTACGTCGATCGAGTTCTCCCTCTTGGTCACGTTTTGAAAAACGTCCTCCATCTGGTCGGGTAAACGCGACGTGTTACGTACTGCATCGACTTCGAAGGATGATACAATCAGTCTTCCGACGGTTCTATCCTTCTCCTTTTCATCGTTCCTTTCTTTTCTTTCGAATACCGTTGATTTTCATTCACGCGGTGTCGCCGGAGTCATTTTTAGTTGGATAGTTTGCCACCAAGCACGGAAAAGAGACGTTCCTTTCCAATGGCGATAAAAAACGTGAACTAAATTCTATTTTACTACCCTAATATTTTCAACAATTTATTTCTCTTGCAATTTTAAATTCCATTACTGCTTTAGAGCACGAGTAGAATTCGAGCAATTCGATCGCAAATTTTGTAATATTCGGTTTGAATATCAGATTACTATTTGAGCTACCTCTATGTCGACACGTTCGCCGATAATCCTTCTAATTTTCCCTGGTAATAACTTTGATTTTTTTTATTTCGCGGGGATTCGAGAGATGATCGCTTTCATTAAGTTACACTTGTCGGGTGTATTTAACCCAAGGGATGACAGGGACTGACGAACTGATCCATCGGAAAGCTGATCGAGCGTTTTCAGCGGTTTCATTCAATCTGAAATAAGCCTCTCGCTCGACGGAGCTTCGGTGTAATTAGTTTCGTTGATTCGATCCTCCCCACGGTTTCCGGTTCCCTCGATCGTAATCGATATAGTCTGTTTATATCGACTTCATAAAGTTCCTTGATCACCCAAAAATAAACAATATCTTCTACCAATAAATTATGACATTTGAACTTGGTATCTAAATATAATTCGCAAAGTACTTTTCGGTCCCTGTATCCTTTTACATTAGAGCGAACTTCCTTTGGGCATTTACATGTCTCACCGGTGCTCATTGTATCGGAAAGAATGTCGAGTGACGTTGATCTGTGACAACGTCGAGAGAATACTAGCGCACTGCGTGAATTTCGACAGATATTTTGATACATAAATGCTCGCTCGCACGCGAACAATTTTCCTATCAATTCCTGCTCCTTACACCTCGTTCATCGATAGCGATCTCAATTAAAGTTCGTTCCTATCATGAGATTATATTACGCACAAATGGTGCATGGCATAAATTAATCAGGACATTTTAAAACTGACAAGTAATTTTTTGCCAGTCTGCAAACAAAAAGATTTTCGCCCGACTTCTCTATTTCCGTTCGCGTTTAAATGACAGTCGCGACAGATCGTTTATCACGATTTTAACCTGCCGTAACGCAGACACGAATTAACATAGCGAGTCACTTTAGAGAAATAATGGCTGTCCCACGGAACATTCAGGTGATACTCCAGGCGACTACAGGGAGTTGGGTTACAGCGGAACGGAGGGTGCAGGGGTTGCCGGGAACGGGTCTTTGGTGATCCCACGGGTATCCAGAGATCACGCTGGCTTCTATCTGTGCCAGGCGAGCAACGGTATTGGGCCAGGCCTCAGCAAGCTCATTCGGCTAACAGTTCACGGTAAAATATTCACGCAACACAGAGTCGACTGGATTCGTGTCAGCCAATGTGCACGCGAACTTGGAATTCCAGCCACGGGCCAGATACTCTGGAATTCTTCGTTCCGTGGTTGAATTTCCGTTGGCAATCTCGATATGCTTCGATGTCGAGGGTAACGCTCGCCGGAGGCAGCTATGTCGCAATCTGTTTTTCCATATAACTTGAATTTTTCTAAAGCACACAATTCGACAATCGATCTTTCTGTTCTGGTAGCATTCGTTCGTTTGATCGAAATATGAACCATTATTCTTTTCATCTGCATCTTTATCGATATCGTTTTGCCTTATAAAGAGCTTGAAAAGCATAAACAATGGTTTCGTAAAACGAACGCGGTAATTTATTCCCCGGTGGGTGTTCTCTCGCACGGGAGACAAGTAGCAGGAAATTAATGCTCGATGGGTGAAACAGCGGGTCCTCAGGTATCGGTGAAAACGCGACAGGAATCAGTGCGACGAGGGGAGAGTGTAACGCTACGCTGCGAAGCCGAAGGAGACGCTCCTCTTGATCTCAGCTGGCGTGCGCGTGACAGCAGAGTCGATCCCAAGTACGATGTTAGGTTTGTATCGAAATTAATCAAAACCCCTTCCCTTCCTAGCAGCGAACCCTACCGGGCTTGTACGACGATCCTGCTCGATCGATGAGTGACACTTCGATCTTCTATCGACTACCGGGATTACAGGTTAATTGCAGTGCGTGTAACGCATTGACAGACAGTCGATTAACGTCGTGTCACCGTTTTAAGGTAGTTCGGGGAACATCTGCGTATCGTTGCCCTAATTCCACAGAGTTATTTCTGTACTTTTTTTTTCGTATCAACTGGACATAATATTCAGACATTCGTAACTCTACTAAAATGAAAAATTTGTGCAAACTCGCGACCCGTAAGACACATGTTACGCGAAAGGAATGCAATTAAAAAGTTCGGTGTGAAAAACTTTGTACAAATACGGTCTCGTCAGTTTCGATAGAAGCCATAACACAATACAAACTTCGCTGTCAGTTGCACACCGTTGCACTTTGCGTTCCATATTCGTTATCTTCCAAAGCGTGTGACGAAACGCCATAGTTGGAGAGTTTCCCGAAACATTTTCCCCAACATCCTGCGCGCGTGGTGTCTCCTTCATTATGGTATTATTCGCCTCGTCCCACGTTGCGTGGCAGCTAACTTCCGTGCGCGCAAAATTGCTCGAACGACGCTGTAGCGGCCTTGTTCGTCGATAATCCCCGTCCTCGTCGAATATCTGTTAAATCCGTCGAATTTAATACGGGTTTATCGACGGAGATGAAAGGAAAAACGCGACTGGAACAGAATTCGCTCGGTTTTCTTTAACCAGGTACACGATAGATAACCAGAAGGTATCCGGTCGAATGATCTCCGAGCTGCGGATCATCCAGGCGAACCACATAGACCGTGGGGACTACACGTGCGTGGCGACGAACGCGTACGGCCATGCCAGGGCGACCATTAACTTGCTGGTTCAAGAGCCGCCGAATTTTCCCCGGAATTTGCACATAGCCGAGCAAGGGAGCCGATCGTTGCTGTTGGCTTGGTCGTCGCCGTCCAGCGAACAGGATCCAGCTCACGCCAGCTCGCCCATAACCAACTACATCGTGCAGTACAAGGAAGCACAGGGTACGTTCCCTGATTCGCTTTGTTCGTCCCCTCGCTTCGCTTCGATATATCGGCTGACGCGCTCGATTATCGATCGTGGAACGCGACTGTCCATCAGATGTCACTCCGCTTGTCGCGCGGAAGCTTCAGAAAGCTCGTGCCGGGATCCTTTGTGCGTCCACTTCGTACCGAATCGTTTTTCATCCAGCTTTCTGCGAGCTGACTCGAGACAGAGAGGCGTGTCTCGAAAGCGTGTACCCGTATCGCGAGTACGATTGATCGCGGCACAAGTACACGAGTTGTACGCGACGAGTTTGTTCGACGTTGCAGGGATCGATTACGCGGATCGCTGTATTCTTGACTCGAAAACGCACCAGCCAGATAACGTCATTCTCACTAGTTACGCACGTTCATTCTACGCTAAAAGTTCCTAAGCGCGTTCACACCGATAACGCGTTCTTCTATCGATTTCTGTTAATTAATTCGGCGAGTACCCGGGGCATTTGGCGAATTTAACATAATCGAACCGAGAGAGAAATAATTAAGAAAATGCTAATACGCGAGATTAATTAATACTTATTGCTGGAAGATGATTATTTCCTCTAAAGTCTCGGCAGAGGAAGAAATAAAGCGTCATTTGTTGTTTCGTTAACGAGCTCGAATGGCTTCTTTGTAAGGATAATTTTAAGTAGCGCTCCTTAAAATCTCTGATACTCGATCCACGAAACTTCCCGACCGACTTATTCTTTTGTCCTCGTGTACAATAGCAGGATTAACTTCTGTTTCGATAACTTTGTTTTCGAAGTAGGCCTACTGTGAAGCGTCCATTTTGGTAATGAAGCCAGCTACGCGATACCCTTGGTAATATTGGATAGCCCTGTCAGATGTTCAGATGGTCGTTTCAACCCCTTAAGGGGGAAACTATCCTGGAGTTCTCAGAATGATATGGGTTACATTACGACTAGAATTTCGTTTCAAACGACAATTGCAATTTTTATGACTTGCCATGCACGAAGAGCAGGGCTGTATCAATCTAGCTCGTGCGCTATCATTTTAAAGAAATTTTAAATCGAAATGCAAATATGTGCTGCATTTTACTTGCTCCGTATTCTATACGCGTACGAGTACAGAGTATATTTTTCTTGTAAAAATATTTCGTCTCGTTGAAGTTGAAGAGTTAATGGTAAGCACTTAAAAATTGCAGGAACTTGACGCATCGACGTAAGGTTATTTCGAAGATGCGATACGGTAGAAGGTAAAGAAGCTGCCAGAAGCAGAGACGCTTCTAGAATGTTCTTTTTGGAGATACTCCTCGCTCGTTTTCACGCGGCTTTTGGCGCTAGTACGTGCCTCGCGACGAGATGAAAGCTGATACGTTAAAGGAAACAGATATGCTAGCTCGGTTATAAGCGTGTTGCCTAACTTTGGCAACGTTAAACCGGCAGCAAGGATCCCTTTCACGTACTGCAGAGTTCCTCGAATCAGTTCGAGTATCATCCAACATTTTCGGATGCTAAAGGGATTGCGAAGTCTCGATACCTTCAGATATCCTATCGCAATACGTATTTGTCGATACACACTTAATCAGATTTCCAGTATATTTGGTCGAACGTTTTATTAAATTATCGTTCATATTGCCAGTTGTACAAATCTTTTCGCAAACTTTTCCGTAGCTTTTTCTTTCGATCTCCTCGAGATAACTGAATCTTTCTGCGGACTAGTGATTTATTGCTTAGAAAAAGAGTACTCTGAAAGCTTCTTTGGAATTCAAATGGCGACCTCTTCGCGCTCGTAAGGGTGTTATTCGTGTCACTAAGATCTATGTTGGAGTTCCTCCACTCCACCGACCTTCTGTGACCCATTCGTTTGGGTTTCTCTATGAAACGTCTTAAGCACTATTAATACATCACGAAAATGCTTTGGAAAAACTTTATTACTTTCTCACGTTATACCCTCTTCTCGCCGTAGACTTCTCTCGGCTACTTTCTTCTTTGCTTTCTTTGTAGGCTCTTCTCCTCGAGTTCTCTCAGAACCAGGCACAAGGAAGATTCCTCTCTCTATATTTATATCGAAGAAGTTACACTCGAATGTGCGTAAATACGAAAAATTCTCGACCGATTCGAAATAGCAGAGATTCGTGAAATTTGAGAAACACTGCATCTTCTTTTGACACGTATCAAGGAAGAGATCCTTATAGATTTTTGGATATTTAGGGCAATATCGCAGAGTGGTAAAGCGGAGCGGTTCCCAGAGCTCGGTAGAAGGTTGACTCCGTTCGTCATAGATTTTGCACGAACGTAGTCATCGTTGACGTTTCCGTGACAGGTTGAACGCTCCGAGAAGGAAAAGTGTCGTAGATTTGGCCGTCGATATTGGCGACATTGTTGGTTCGATAATCAGCTCTTTTTGTTTACGCGGACTTTTTTCCCGAGACTGTGTTTTAATTGCTTTCCGTTCCGGACGCAATCGTCGTTTCATTACGTGGCCGCCGTCGGAAGGAGTTTGATTTGTAATATCTCGACAGTGCCACATTAAGACTCCATTATTGGACTGTCAGGATGGATCTCGAGTTTAATCAATACTCCGTGCTGGTTGCTGAGGCAATCGGGAGGGGAACGAAGTTATAGCTCCGTATGGCAAACAATATATAATCAATCCAACAGCGATCGTACAGTAATCATTGTTTTTCAACGTTTTTATCGAATGGACGTTTGATTGATCGCTGATTGGGCGTTGCTCTAGCTTCTCCGAGCTTGAAAACAGTCGCGCCGAATGCAGTTTCTCCGCCCATAAACTGCCGAACATCGAAACGATAACACGTCGAGGGTGGCGTGACTCACCGGCGGGTTAGATATTTCCGGGAACGCGATAGATTTATAAAACACCGATCACCTCTTATACCTTTCCTCTTCGTTCTAATAAGACAATTGATACCTGTATACGAATTTTTCGAACGAACGCAAATCTCGGGCAATTACATCTTTGCACTTTCGCGAAGAAGATGAATTTTTCTTATCCTTCGTGAGCGAACCAGCCTCCTTTAGGTCCCGGTATCTCGGCGAAAGTTTTTCAATTTTCGTGAAAGCCTCCCCGGATATCGACCACGTTCAATCGAACATTGTTGTCCGTGGTTGACTCACAAAGGTCCAAAGGGAAAGTAACCTGATTACGTGGACGATATTCGGTGATATTTAATTACGCCCCCATCGAGTGACCTGATTTTTCGAGCGGAGCAGATACCGGGAGCACGGCGAGGGTGTTATATCGAGCGGTGCGAGAAGGTTCGGGTCGGTTTCCATAAAAGCGTCGTACAGCAAGGAAGTCGAAGTTTGTCGCCAAGTCGATGCTCGGACTTCTCCTTCTACTCCGTCTCCGCTTTATTTTCTCCGCTGGAAAGTTCTCTTTGAAAAGGGGCGCCCGACAACCCCCCTCGTCCCTGGATCCGGTCCCTCGTTAACTTCGGATGTCCTCATTTACGCCTAATCGACTCGAATCGCTTGGCCGCCGCTAAATTATCGAAGTTAACACACGGAGGGACACGGTTCGGTCGTGTCGTGGTGTGAACGCGCTTCAAACACGTTTTCAGGGCAAGCACCGGGTCGGGAATTCGTTATTTTTCTTTGAGAATAACGCTGCTTCGAGATGTCGATCGTACGAGTTCGATTACTGACCAATTTTCTTTCTTTTTCCAACTGAACTTTGCAATTATTTTCTTGAATTTCGATCCTTTACGAATAAAGCGCTTTTAAATGCTTTCTTAATTTGATATTCGTCATCGATTGTTAGCTATTTCGTTCGCCGATCGTTTTGTAATGTTTATTTGTAATCGTCCGGAAAAGGTTAAGGAAATGAATTTAGAAATTGAAGCGACTTAAAAATATATCGTCGCGTGGTTAAAGTTTGTAAGTATATATTTGATTAAACTTTCGTTTTCGACTAGTCGTCTCGAATGGCTGCAACTCTCAAAGTTAACTCTTTGAATTTTGCTCTTTCTTCGAACGATCGCGTTCCCATCCGGACCAGAGATTTAGCCAGTCGCGTTTTTCGTTGACCACGAACCGCTCGTTCGTACGTTCGATTTTTCGATTACTTCGAGGCAGATTACCGCTACTCTGTTCATTCGCGATAGTAGAAAGCTAATCCCACTGATTGAAATAATCTGGTTTCGATGGCCGATTTGAACATTATCGTCTGTACAAGAATACGCAATTACTCGTTTTCAAAGGTACAAATTTCAGGGTATTATGCAACGTTCAAAAATTCAAGTTGAAAAAGCAGAGAATTGTCCTTTTATAATTGTAAAAAATCGATACGTTACGATTATTAAATTACATATTTATTTTTCAACGAATAAGCTACTATTTCTCTGAATTTACCGTTCTGCGTTTAATTTCGAAACGAAATATCATCCCTGAACAACTACTTTTTTACGTAGATAATGAATCAATTTTTTTCCAATTTTGTACCAATATCGAACATATCGATAATCATATAAATGATCGGTGATTGGTTACGCAAATAGTACCCGCAGCAATAAATCGAATAACGCCATTATAACAAATTCCACGGGAAAATTACGATCAGATTTGAAGGAATATCCCAGGCATCATTGGAGGACAATATCGATTATGCTATTATTCTTGGCAGCCATCGAAAAAGGGTTGGTTCGTGCACTCCCTTCTTCGAAATAATAAAACGAAACCGTGACTATATAAAATCGCGTGCGAAAGTGGCGGTAACCGGCATCGGATCGAAGCGAAAAATCACGTAACACCGTGTCACTCGTGTAAAGCCGTGCGTCGTAAATCCGTCGACTATACCATCGGCCAACGATGCACAAAACCCATCTAAGCGTTGTCGTTGCCTTTTGCTGGAAAGACGTGTGGCATGAGCACAACACGCAGAAGATGGTGGCAGGGGACAACACGGTCGCTCTGGTGTCGCCCCTAAAACCGGCGACCTCCTACCACTTTCGGGTGCTTGCGGAAAATCATCTTGGAACATCAGCGCCAAGCGACATCCTTCATGTCAGTATCAAACGTTTCAGCATGCCTCAAAAACAAACAAAAGTTTATCATTGTATCATGTATTCATCTATTCAACGATTCGAACCCGAGATCTCTGACATTAACTTTTTATTCTTGTGTTGCTCTGGGTTCTGGTTTCGCGACAACGACAACAACAGGCTCAAACCGATGGAGAAATTCCCAGTGGACCACCCAGACATGTTATCGCCGAGCCCTTAGGACCACAGCAAGTGAAGGTCACCTGGCAACCACCAGATCGATCCCTCTGGAATGGCGAACTCCTCGGATACACCATCAGCTACGCCAATCTCGGGTATCGTTATCCGCTTACGGCTGTTTAGAATAGTTTCCAGCACACTTTAGGATCGTAGAATTCAACGTTGAAGCTCGCCGAGGATCTCGAATTTCCGCCGATTATCGCGGTGATTCTCGACAATGGGCGATCGGTTCGCTTTCGTTTCTCGGGGTAATCGTTTTGTTCGCGACCGTCTCACCGTGTTCCTTCTCATCGATTTCCAGATACGACGCGAGTCGATTCGAGATATCAAATTTTTAAAGCTGCGTACGAAGTTACGAGTAGTTTCCGGCAAACTTTCCGAAACGTTTAACTGTCTGGAAATGGAATTAAGCATTTTTTTGGTCGTCGGGAATGGAAAAGTTTCATGTCGATGGGACAGAAGTATCGGGGGAATTTGAAGGAATCAGGAGATCATTTTTCGCTCCAGTTTCCACGGAACTGCTTTAAGTATCGTCGAGTTCCGCGCGTTCCTTCTCGCGCTTTATCTTTCCGCCTCGAGGAACATCGACCGTGGCTTTATTTCAGAGGGAATGATCAATCGGTGAACATCACCAGAGTGGGAATCACGGGAAACGGGGACGGTTCGTACGATTATAGGCTAACCGGCCTCCGGAAGTACACCCAGTACAGCATCGTAGTGAAGGCGTTCAATAATAAAGGAGACGGACCAGGATCTGACCCAGTCACCGTGCAAACTCTCGAAGACGGTAAGTCTTATGACAATCACTCTTCCTTTTTCGTCTTTACTTTCTTTTTTCTGCCTTTCCTCTATTGCGATCGATCGAGGTTTCTTCACAGTTTCCGAACCGCGTTTCTCGTTTTCTGTCCCAATAATGAATCGTTTCTTTCTTATATTTCTTTTTTAAAAATATAACACGAAAACTGTTAACATATTCGTGGAAGTTTCGACATCGAGACAAACTTTGTAGGTTTCGAAATGCACAGTTTGATATACGCGTAGTTTAGAATATCACGGAATTGGTTACGCAAGTTGGAAATTTAATATCTTGCATACGCGAGAAAATAAGAGAAGAAATTTGCTTGTTCTGTGTAAATGTTCCTTTTCCAGGAAGTCGACGTTGAAAACTCGCGCAACGGACGTACATTTAATTACAATATCGTTCAACGAATCATGTTACGATGTAATACAATTCTGTATTTCGATAATAATCGTGTAACGCAGAAGTATGCATTGTTTAAAGGTTTCGTTCCGCAATTAAAAATATCGAACATAATAAAAGAGTATCGTTAATGGAAAACATTAATCAGAATTCACAACCCGAGGAGTTTTTAGATCGTATTTCCTGAAGATGGAACGTTTTCTCCGAAAAAATCTCGCGTTCGCGTGAATTGCACGGCCCTTTTGCGCGTTTCGAGTGAATTAAAACAACTTTAATTTAATAAAGCTGTAATATGGACGGCTAACGTTTTACATTTAGCTCGACATATTAATTTCGCGGAAACGTAAGGTACACGATATCAGTAGAAAAGGTAGAAAGTTACAAAGAGTTCGCTGAAATATAATGTCCTTATTTGTTTTATTTCGCGCCCCGCTCACAGAGAATAAATTAAAATGTTTCTGTCGTTTTGAGTCGCGTAAAAGCTTCTTACACGGCACGAAGGTCTCGGGCTAATAGAGGTCAGAGACGAAAATTCACGATCCCTTTTTAAATGGACCGCCATAGCTTCTCCGCTTCAACAAGCTGTAATAAAAGATAATTGGAGGCCAGCAGTTTCCGGATTAATATATAGCGCGGCGTTACACGTCCTCGGGCGCTGATGAGACCAGCTACAATGCCGCGAAACGGTGAAATTAATTTCCGTGGCGGCAGTTTACACCGGGAAAACCGTAATAACACGGAAGGATGCGGAAAAATTTGCATATACCGTACGACTCGTAAGGCGAGGCTCATTAACTTACGATTCCTCTTTTTTTTTTCACTCGAATGACCTGTTGTTCTAACTTGTTGAGTTCGCTCCGACGAACTACCTCGTTGCCAGGATAAAAACGCGAAATCCCATTTAAAACGATTAAGTTCGCCGTAGTCGACAGTGCCCTGTGGAAGCTACTATGGTGCCTCCTCTGGCATGAAACGTTTATATGGATTATTTTACTGTGCTTTTTTCGAGTGACGGAACATTGTAAATATAGCCTAATTGTTTAAGATTTTGCGATGGACAGGAAACGAGAACGCGTTGAAGTTTATTCAGTTCTTAACACGGGCAATGCAGTGCTTGACACGACAGATTACTCGATTACGAAATTCTTCAAGGTGTAATAGACTCTCGTTACATTAATGCGTTATAGTGACGCATTAGATTGTATACTTCTACGCTTAGTATCACCGCGTTAGATCATCGCACCTCCGCGTTTAATGTCAGCTCACATTAGATCGCTAACGTAGAATAACGAGTTACATCACACGTGGTATTGCAACGTGTTAAATTCTAACGCGCAGTATCACGTTCGATTGGCTATTCCAAACCACTCGTCCTCCGTAGCGATGTAACGAGAGTCTGCCATTATCGATTCAACCTTGTAGAAATAATCTGGAAGTACAACCTCACGGTTTCTTACGCCCCAGACACTTCTAAAATTTGTAAACGCATGAAGACGCGAGTATTCGCGCAAGTTAAATGTCTTGTAATAAACTGACGATACAATTTGACACAGTTCCAAGCGCTCCGCCGCAGAACGTGGCCTGTGCCGCACTAACCGGCCAGAACATCCAGGTGACCTGGAAACCGCCGCCTTCCGACAAAGTTCACGGGGTCGTGCAGGGCTACAAGTTGCTGTACGAGGCGGCCAGCGCCGTTTTGGAACAGCACGAGGGCAGGGAGACGAAAATCAGCCATGCACTAAGCACCGTGCTGCACGGGCTTAGTCCGTACACCAATTACACGGTACAGGTGCTCGCGTACACCAGAGCCGGCGAGGGTGTCACCAGCAGCCCGGTATCCTGCACCACCGAAGAAACTGGTAAACGACCGATGTTGTAGTTTCGTCTGCGACAGACACGGAAGCGTATGCACACGCGAGCATGGAAGCGTATTTGTTGGATTTCGCGGAATACGGTCCTGGTGGAGTTGGTCAGTCGGTGCTTTACTGCTAGTCGTGTTGTTGATGTTTCGATAGGTCAATACGCTGCCGAGATTCTCTCGCGTAGTTTTGGTGCATCGATAGAACTGGATCGTTTCGCGGACGGGAATTTGGCAAGGTCTGAGCATGTACTTTAGCGAAACGGGACGAGAAGGTGGCGTTATAAGGAGAATATTAAACGGATTAAATGGTTTGAGGAGTCGTTCCTCCGTGAAGCTCGGTCTAAGATGAAAAGCAGTGGACTTCGTTGATATAATTACTTAGCAATTCATATAATCATCTGTCAAGTTTTAGACTGTAGTAAAACGAATTAGTTCCAGGAAAGTATTTTGAGAATAGTTAAAATATTTGAAACGTTGCTTCGATCACGTCGAAGGAAATTACGGGTGAAGTAATTCGGGCATCTTCAAACGGTCGAAATATACCCGAGAAATCGAACAGCTAGTATTAACACCGTATTTGCATTCTGCTCGTCAAAGAGGTTCCGTTGGCACGTACGTAGGAGCGGGCACGGTGCCGTTTTAAACTAAAACTAGAGAAGGCCACTTCCAGGCTGAATTCCAGAGAATCGGCCGGTACTGTTTAACGAGTAGAACGGGACTAAAAGAGTCAATGACAGAAACTTTAACGCGCCTTTGAAGTAACGATATACCAGCGGGCTTGAAGCTCTCGTTTCGTGCTCTAGCTCCGGGGAAACTCGACGGCAGGAGGGCTGGTTTTCCATTAAATGCAGCTGCACCGTGCTCGTATCCACGGAAAACGATAGTCGAGTCCGCCGAAATTTCGCGAAACGGGTCACGAGTAATTGTTCCGTTATCGCGAAATTCATAATAACGCGCCGAGTCGTTTCGTTTCGCTACGTAATCGAAATTTCGCGTATCACAAAGAAAACACGCAGTTGATAATCCAGCCAGTTTGTCAACGACAGAATCTCGCGGATTATTTGCTTATTCTTTGGAGAAACAACTCGATGTATTCAGAGCGGCAACTTGTCCGGAATACACGGTCGCAGACAATTCTGAACATGTCGCATAGAAGTTCAACGAAAGTCAAGCTTTCCAATTTAATATAATTGAATATTAACGTTGATTAAAATTGACCGTGGACATTAGATTTTTATTTATCGCGTATCGACTCGTTTTTGAACTCTCTTCGGGTGAAAATAGGTACTCGGTTATTTATGCTACAAAATCGATAGTTCAAGAGATATTTCAACACGTTCGATCTGCGATACTATATGCAGATATGTCCATCTCTTTGAAACGTGAGATATTGAGGGGATGTTGGGTGTTAAAAGTGGTTGGAGCAATTTAATTTCCGTGTAGAACACGATCAGAAATGAATATCGCATTACCGATACACATTCCAATATTTAGAACATCTCCTAAAGCAACAGCATCCTATCTTAAGCAACTGTTCGATAAGAAAACTTGAACTGTACTAATCCGAAGAATGACCTTGTTCTTGCAAGGTTATAGCAAGTTTCCCAAACAAAAATTCGATTTCTACATACAACCATCGCAATATTTTCCCGATAACATCTGACTGTTAGCGAAAAGCGAACGCTCGATAGAATCCTCCCCTTGTATATCACTATCTAGCCTCAATTTTCTCAAAACTCGCGAACAATAGAGGACCTCCCACGAAGACGTAACCGCCATTGCTCGGAGGTTCGAAAGGCGGCTCTCCTTGAATCCCTGATCGATTATATCGGCGAGGGCATCGTTTCCGGTTCGTCTATTCTGTTTTTCCTGGAGGTTCTTGGACCGCCGTCAGCCTGGTTCTTTTGCTCGTAGTTCCGGACGCGCCGGAGCGTGTAAAGGCTGTGACCAGCAACGAGGACGCTGTGGTGATATCGTGGCTACCGCCGCGTCGTCCGAACGGCATCCTGACAAAATACACCGTTTATATCCGCGTGTTGGACCAGGGCCAGGAGGTGAAGATCACTAAAAGCTCGCTGCCTGCGCAGAGCTTGCACCACGAAGCGACCGGCCTGAAACTGCGCGAGTCCTACGAGGCCTGGGTTACGGCCTCGACCAAAGTGGGGCAAGGATCTAGCACTCCGGTCATCAAACTTCAGCTGAGCAATACCGGTGAGCCGTGTCACGTTTACTAAACTTTTGTCCGCGAGAAACTTTCTTGTCTCTGCGTTGCTCCCGGTGGGATCGATAAGGTCCGAACGGCGTTGCTCGATTCGTGCGTGATCGGGATCTGGCTACAACGACCAAATTGGACCAACAAACTGCGTGGAAGTTTTATGAAAAATTTCTCAAACTTATCTCCGGAGAAATCGCGTGATCACTATTCTCGTTATTTTCTTCGAACCTCCTCTTCTCTTTATCGGGTCAGAAACACGGTTCGAGGCTCTAGAGTTTCCTCGAATCTCCCCTGGCTTTTCTTAAGATCTTGGCCTTTCTTTAAACTCTCCCTAATCGATTCTCCGGTTCTGTACTGCTGGATCTTTTGACAGAAGAGTTTGTACTCGAAAACGAGTTCGCTCGAATTTCCATTATTCGGTATGAATGGTACGTTTAATTGATCCGCCGTGCACGATTCTTAGCGTTCAAGTTCGACAAAGTTCGAACGTTGGTCCACGAAGAAGTAGTACGAAACGACGCAGTCGCAAGGCTAGTACATACAGCCAGCCTTAAGTTATGCATTTTAATCGTTGGTTCCGTTTGCGTTTCCATTTCCATCCGCGAGTATCGTTCGCAATTAAAATGATCCCGTAGAATTGGTAGACTCGTGCCGGTACCACGGGATTGCCTGTTAAAAATTGCTCGAGGAGATGTGGGAGAAAAAGAGAGGGGGGACGGACGAGCGAACTTTCGAAACAGAACTCAAACACGGATCATAGCTGCAGGAAGTTTAACAAAGAGCAAGTATAACCGGGACTTTTAATTAGTTCGAGCAGCCATAATATCGTTCGGTGTGCCGCTCGTGGTGCCGTGGAGGGTGGACGTCAATATGGCTTGTCTCGCCGTTGGTAATCCGCGGCCGACGGTGGAGTGGCGTCGAGGCGACGTGAAACTGCAACAAAAGTAAGTGCAAACGACAAAAATAACGGACAACGCGATGACTCGTGATTGTGGATTTTTCTCGACAGATCCGACATCGGACCGGACAACGCGCTCACGCTGAGGAACGTGCAGAGAACCCACGAGGGCAACTATTCCTGCCACGTGAAGAATTCTCTCGGCTCGGACGAAATCGTGTACACTCTTCAAGTACAAGGTACACAGAACTATTGGAACAGTGAAATAATGCTGGAAATAGAGTTTGTACTCCTTGTAAGACACGGTTATTGGCTTGTCCATTTAAATTATATTTCTAGATATTTTCGCGATACCGTGTAAAATTGTAAAAGGAAAATGTAGACACGGGTATTCGGTCACCTAGAGAGAATAGACACGACCAAATATTTGTCTTCTGCTGCTCCATCAATGTCACATCTGACTTCTGTGAACACCGTTGCACTGTACTTCGCAGATCGCTTTTCTTTTTCGCTTTTGTCGTTCAATACGAGATACCTCTTTCGACTGACAAGTACCGTGGTCGCGTTTCCTAGTCGCAAAAGGTTTACTGCTCGTACCATTATTTCGCGAAAGACGAACGACGATGACGAGGAGCGGGAATAGTGCGAGACGAATCGGGTCAACGACCTACATTTTTCTACCACGGCTTGAAAAAAGCGCCGGTATCGACGCGGTCCGTTATCATGGAAACTTTCGTCGCGTCGTGCATATTATCTCGACAATGGCAACGGAACGGGTCAGCTCGACGGAAAATGCTTGTCACCCGTGGGGTTCGTTAAAAGTTACGTTCAACTATTTTCCGTCCCGATGCCCGTTCCGTTATTCTCTCCCTCGTGGAATAATTCGAATGTACGTAAAGGAACGTGGCTCTGAATACATTTGCAGGCTACATTTCGTTACCTGTAACGTCATGCGCGTTCGTTCCGCGGCGACCGCAGAGACTGCGATACAAGTTCACCGTGGTACGAACGCACACGGTTGCAGGAGACCCGCTCGAAATACGGGAAAAATTCGAGGAGCACGTAGAGTGTCCCATTTTAATGTGTACCCGGTAAGTCGCTGCGAAGGTTCGTGTACCGACGAGGTAGACTTCTCCGAGGAAAATCTAATACTTGACGATACGAAACTTGCCCAGGGAAACCCAACTCGTCGATGTACCACCAAAATCGAAGCAACCCTAAATCGTATAGAAACGAAAACCAGTACTCTAAAGCCTTATAAAGGCCTTTCCTAAGCCCAGAACTCCTTCGACCGATAAGATTACGATCTTCTTGATTACTGGCAATCGAACTAAAGTTTCGCCATGTTTCCAACGCTTCACGAACGATTTACTCTGCTTCATTAACTCGAAGAGGGACACCGGTAATCTCCTCCCGTATTCTCCGTTTACACTCGCGCTGCCCGTTGTTCTACGCGATTAATCAGTCCAGCAAACGTTTTAGAGCGATCAACCCGGCTATTCTAATTGATAAACTTTGCGTAGTGCCACCAACGCCACCGACCCTACTGGCCACAGGTACCACAACCGACGCTGTTCAGTTGCAATGGAAACAGGGCGACAACGGAGGAGCCCCCATAAAAGGATTCCTGCTGGCTTATCGTCGGGAATTCTCCGAATGGGAGGAGGTGATGCTCGATCGGAAAGCAAATACTCACCTGCTGGAAGGTTTACAGTGCGGCACCAGGTATCAGTTCACGCTGGCAGCGTTTAACAGGATCGGTAGCGGAAGCGCGAGCAAAATCGAGACGGCCAAAACCAACGGGACTAAACCTGTCCCTCCTACGAAGCATCAGTTGATCAAAGTGAATCAAACGTTCGTCACATTGGAGTTGACGTCTTGGCAGGATGGCGGCTGTCCGTTGCTGTACTTCGTCGTCGAGTACAGAAGGCTTCCTGGAGACTGGTTGCTCGGTACGATAATTTATTTCCTTTACACGAAAGCAGATTTATATTCGAGAACCTGAAGAATTGTAGCCAAATGAAAGACGAAGGTGGAAAATTTTCATATAGTTTCTCTTGGAAAAAATTGGTCCCTAGTATTAATTATTGTAGTCGCGAAACTACGGTGTGGTATGATTGGTACTAAGATTTAATGGCAGACGTTTAAATTTCTCACAGTGTCAAACAACGTGCCACCACAGTCGAGGTTCACGATTGTGGACCTAGAAGCTGGAACCAAGTACGAGCTGCGCGTGACAGCTTACAACAACGCCGGTTCAACGCAAGCCGAATACTTGTTCAGTACTATGTCACCGAACGGCAATAATCGAATACACGAGGAACATCCACCGGAAACCGAGGAGACCTCGCTGTTTTTCGACGCTCACGTGTTGGCTCCTAGCGTGATCTCGTTATTGGCTGTGTTCCTGGCGGTGGCTGGTGTTTGCTTTTGCCTAAAAACTCGTAAGTTTTTACTTTTATAATCGCTCCCGACGAGCAACGCTTTCGTACCTCCGTCGCGGTGAATTTTATATATATATGTTTAGTTAGATATAAAACGTAGCCGGTGTTAAAATATGTTTGCTCGTGACGTTATTGAGCATTTTGCGACGCGTGACAGTCGGAAGAATTCGTTGAGCGTACTTCGTCGATAATAATTGAAAACTCGAATTCATTTCTGTGCATTTCTCGTCACCCACACACGGATGTGTATTTAAATAACCATGCATATAATTAAAATCTGAAATTCTACAGGTATTTTGTCGCGTTTAAACATCATACACGCAAGCTCGTTCGCGTGTCGATGTCAAACAAAGGAACATTCAATCGATGCGCAATTAACTATCTCAGTTACGCAAACCTACAAGCTTCCCGTGTGTGCAAAACAAAAAGCGCCATCACCGAGTATCGTGACGTTCGATCTATGAAGCGTTAAATTCGATACCGGTAAAACACGCCTCTTGTTTCGTACATGAGATACGTTTCGACACGCAGTTTCGTTTTACGTACTCGGTTTGTGATTAATACTTACTTTGCTCAACACATCGTAATAACAAATTTCGCTTTAATCGGATATTATTCTAGTAACGAAGCTTCCAAATGCAGAATGTTAATTACCTAAAATGTGTATTATCGCCCAATCAGCTTCTCGCCATATTCGACGCTTAAATTAACGTTCAGGTTGGTTGCTAATTTATTAGGATCAAAGTAGACGTTCCCAGACACGCAACAGTTTCGTTAACTAATCAGCTGATCTATAGTGGAACGTTTTGAAACTTGTAACGAAGAGCAATGTTGACGAAAACTTGTCCTTTTGGACGGGGTTCGAAACTAAAAGCTTCCGATAGCTAACCATGAATCGATCGAGCTCGACAATAGTAAATCGTTCAAAGTTAGTAAATCGGAAGATCGATTCTGGAGACGCGAGCCAGGTTCACGGACGATCAACCGCGTACGAAACACCGGGAGTGTAGGTGGAGTCGATCGAACAGCAGGAATCGGCATTCGAAGCGTGTGGATAGGATTTCAGCGGTACCGGCAATTTGCATTAAGCCAGAAGGGCGTGCTGGCGCCGCACTCGTGCCACTCGTCGTTATTGAGTAGCTAAACGTCGCAGGATTGTACTCCAATTACTATCGCCATCGTGAGAGTAGCTTTGAGGGGAAGCGAGCCACGAGATATCGCCGCTTAACGGGCGAAAATTGATTCCTGATTTTCCTTCTCTTCTCTCTGCTTCCCGTTCACCCCCTTCTCTCGTCTTCTTCGCCGTCCCTTCGAGTTCAGATCGCGTACGATTTTATTCCGACGATCGCTTATCGGTGAAACGTAAACATCGAGCCCTCCACTGTATCCGCTGGGAGCGATTCGATTAATTAAAAAGAACGAGGTGAACGGGCTTCCTGCAATTATACTTTCCGTTGTTGACGTTCGCGCGGCTCGAGCGTGTTCTGTTTGACGTACAAGCGACGAAACGACCGGTAAATATGTATTTATGGTTTTAACGCGAACAACGACTCGACTATTCGAATGCTGTTGCTGGTTTCTCGACTCGACTCTTAAATCAAGATACCGTGCTCGTGTACCTTGAAAACTCAATCTTCGTCCGAGCAATAAATTCAAGTCGAGCTTCCACCGCCGCCAAGTTTAATCGATCGAGCTAAACGTTCGTTCGTTAAAAATGGGATCGAAAGTCGGCCTCGATCGGTTACCGGGCTCCCTTAATTTTATTCTAACGATCCGCGATGCAACGCGTTGCGGTGCAATGGTACTTTGAAATAAAAACACGATAAAGAGCTCTCTAATTTCGAAGGCGAGTATCGGTCTTCGTTTCCATGCGTGATGGGAATGATTGCAGACGCGGAGCGATCCGGTCGAGCGAACGATCCGAATTCGCAAACGCAGGCTGCCCTGGAGAACAAACACAACATGGAGCAAAGGGAACAATACTACGCGACCGTGAGGAAACCTGGCCAGCAGTCGCCCTGTCGCGAGGTGAGCGCGCTGGAAAGAATTCCCGAATATTCCGAAGACATTTATCCGTACGCCACCTTCAATCTGCCCGAGCAGGAAAACCTGTCGGCGAACCCGATGCGACAGGCATTCTACTACGAACGCAGCGAAACGATGCTGCAAGGCAATCAGGTACGACAAAAAGAAGCGTCGAGTGAATGATTGTCGCGCACGAGGTTCGATCAATTATAAACGAGACAGTTGTACTTCGATCGATAATTTTAGTAATTAACGGTTATTTTCTTTTAACAGTCTCGCTTACGTTTGATCCACTCTTGTACATAGATCGAGGGATTGATAAGGGTCGAGAGGGTTTAACGGGACGACGACGTTTTGAACGATATCCTCTTCGCTTTACTCGCACGAAGTAATTTCGTCGATTGAAACGTACGTCTTCGTCGTTCGCGCGTTGGTCAGAATAAATGTATTTCCATTTGGAAACCGTTTCGATCTATCTATACGCTAGAGATCGAGCCTACGATATATTGCTTGTATACACGTAGATACGTTCGAGAGATCAAAGCTTAGCTACGTTCGATATCAGAAGTAGATGTCGTGCTCGAGTTTACGGATTCGAGCGCGATCTTACTCGAGACTTCGCTTGCAAGCGAATGTCTTTCCCTCTGTGACCGGAAAACTTGTTACGAACCGAACGAACTTTGACGGGAAATCAGTTTTCGATCGCGTATACCGACTTCCGAGTACTTTCAGATTAAACGATCCAGATACGGAAAAGCTTCGTTCGAAAGTTATGAGTGAAATATTCGTTTCCTAGCTGCGGGTAGGTCTTCCGAAGAAACAGAAAATTATCGTAAACGTTGATTATCTAGGCGACGGAGCGTGGTTATAGATCGGTCATTATATGCAATGAAACTTGCGACAGTTTACGGATAATTGGTAGCGACGCACTGACATTGTAAATCGCTCGATATCTGATAAGAGTGTAATGGCTCGCGATTATCGTGAACATCTTCCACGCTAATTTAGAAACGTTGCAGTGCGACATGGACCAATACACGAAGGTCCGTGGCAGAGCACGTCGCAAGTCGAAGTCGTTCAAGTCGGAATCCGAAGAGTACGACACGTTGGGGTCGGACAGCGACACGGAGGTCGGTACCAGCAGTCGCACCGAGTCCTCGAATCATCTGGACGACTCTGGGCCAGCGTCCATAATGACTCGATCACCGGGGCCAAATTCGATCGGGCAGAGGGAGCAACGACTAGCCCTGGTCCCGAGGCCGGTTCATCATAGTAAGTTAGTATTCGATTTTCTGTGTCGACGCCGCCAACAGCCTTAAACAGCATCCGGTCGCCACTAACGACTCACCTTTCTCGCATCAACGTCTCGCGTGCACCTTCCAGATGTGCTGTACCACACGCACGAATCAAGTACATCAACCGAGCCGTCACCAATTTCTGAGAGGAAGACCTTCCCGAGGCTCGAGAAGCAAAGGTACGATTACACGGAAACGCGAAGCTTCGTTGATCGATTGGATCTCGAATAGAAACAGGCTTCTCTCCCTTTGATCTGGGCAACAGCTTATTTTCAAGACGATTCGATCAAGAATGAACTTCCTTTATGTTCCTTATAGTCTCGCGAACGTCTTGAAAATAAGTATTCGATCCTCTCTCTTCTTTCCTGCTATCTACGTCTTGGATGGAAAATCCTCCTCTGCTCATAATGTACCGCGAAGTAAAAAACGATGAGTCATCAACGATGCGCTTTGAAAGATCTCCATGTTTCGAAAAATACCGTGCAATGAAATTTTTACGCGATGCGCGCTCGTAGATTTTCAACGTTACGCGCGAATGTTTATTTTAACGTTCGAGGTCTCTCGGCAATTCGGAAAAGAGTTGAATTATTTAAAAGTTTCGTCGAAAAAGGGTGGAAAGTTTAATAGAAGGTGTCGCGAATTTTCAGGAATCAAGGAGCAACGTCCGATATTGGGATGGACGGTCGCGTGCCGGGGATCCTGCGTCCTGTGATGAAGCTGTCGGAATCCGGGATGCATTCGTACTCGAGGGGAGCGTCGCCGAGCAGGCCGTCGAGGCCGGGTTCCTGCGACCGGCTGACGAAGCAGCCGAGCCCGAGGAAATCCGTGGAGTCGTTGTGCCTGCTGGAGGAGCCTGGATCGTCCAGGATGGCAAGGAGAGAGGAGGATTGGGGCAGCGAGCTGTCTACGTTGGAGCTGAAACCACCTACTGGTTTCACGGACGCGCACGAGACTAGCGAGGCCGAGTGCGATATCGACATGAAGCTCAAACTCCATAGGAAAAGGGCGGCTTTTCCTTCTAACTCGCTCTCGAAATCACCTAAAGACTTCACTATCACTGTCTAAGTGTCTAATCAAATATTCGCGAAATTGCTGCCAACACGAAAGGTATATAAGAATATACGTACGTATACAAGATGCCAAGCATGATGAGTGTTAATTCAAAAAAAAAGCAAAACAGAATAAAAAAAAGAAACTGAAACTACGAAGAAAATTTCCTCGCCGTTGAGATCGTCGGGATCCCCCCAACGCTTCTCTGTGGATGGATGACTGTCTTTCCGTGTAACTATCGTCGACGATCCATTTACAATAAAGAGGTATTTTTGTAAGAAAAAGAAGGAAAGCAACCGACTGTGTCTCAATAATTTTTATTCAATTCCCCGTCCTTTGAATTCGCTTACAAGCCGTATTATTTTAATTCCACCTCTCCTCTGTAGAAAATTTCGTGTTGGAAATTGTGGCGATACAAGAACGAACAGAAGATTTTTCATTTCCTTCAAAGATTCGTTAAAATTGGTCACTGTAGACGTGGTACTAGACGTCAATCAGTTTAATTGCTGTCGCTTATCAGTTACGTGTCAGCCGCATTTCCGCAGGACAGAAATCCGATTCTGAACAGATCTGAAGACTGATTTGTTACGTTCGTGCTAATTAAACGAATCGTTCGATCATTCGACAGTCGCTTCGATAACATCGCAAGGTGGTAAAAATTTTCTTGTGTTACCGCAAGATCTAAATTTCAAAATTTTTTTAATTTTCTTGCTTCAAAAGTTTCTTGCGGATATTCACCTACAGAGTACAGGAAAATGAACGAATAAATTACTTTTTATCTGTTTGAATATCAATAGCCCGAATAGCGGAACATCAAACGCCACCTGTACCGCTGGAGGCTCACCAACTGCATCTTCATCGATGCAGTTGTACATTTACCTGTAGGGATTGTGTTGTTATAGCTGGATTTTGGAGTCGTTGTGCCTGCTGGAGGAGCCTGGATCGTCCAGGATGGCAAGGAGAGAGGAGGATTGGGGCAGCGAGCTGTCTACGTTGGAGCTGAAACCACCTACTGGTTTCACGGACGCGCACGAGACTAGCGAGGCCGAGTGCGATATCGACATGAAGCTCAAACTCCATAGGAAAAGGGCGGCTTTTCCTTCTAACTCGCTCTCGAAATCACCTAAAGACTTCACTATCACTGTCTAAGTGTCTAATCAAATATTCGCGAAATTGCTGCCAACACGAAAGGTATATAAGAATATACGTACGTATACAAGATGCCAAGCATGATGAGTGTTAATTCAAAAAAAAAGCAAAACAGAATAAAAAAAAGAAACTGAAACTACGAAGAAAATTTCCTCGCCGTTGAGATCGTCGGGATCCCCCCAACGCTTCTCTGTGGATGGATGACTGTCTTTCCGTGTAACTATCGTCGACGATCCATTTACAATAAAGAGGTATTTTTGTAAGAAAAAGAAGGAAAGCAACCGACTGTGTCTCAATAATTTTTATTCAATTCCCCGTCCTTTGAATTCGCTTACAAGCCGTATTATTTTAATTCCACCTCTCCTCTGTAGAAAATTTCGTGTTGGAAATTGTGGCGATACAAGAACGAACAGAAGATTTTTCATTTCCTTCAAAGATTCGTTAAAATTGGTCACTGTAGACGTGGTACTAGACGTCAATCAGTTTAATTGCTGTCGCTTATCAGTTACGTGTCAGCCGCATTTCCGCAGGACAGAAATCCGATTCTGAACAGATCTGAAGACTGATTTGTTACGTTCGTGCTAATTAAACGAATCGTTCGATCATTCGACAGTCGCTTCGATAACATCGCAAGGTGGTAAAAATTTTCTTGTGTTACCGCAAGATCTAAATTTCAAAATTTTTTTAATTTTCTTGCTTCAAAAGTTTCTTGCGGATATTCACCTACAGAGTACAGGAAAATGAACGAATAAATTACTTTTTATCTGTTTGAATATCAATAGCCCGAATAGCGGAACATCAAACGCCACCTGTACCGCTGGAGGCTCACCAACTGCATCTTCATCGATGCAGTTGTACATTTACCTGTAGGGATTGTGTTGTTATAGCTGGATTTCGGTATTACCTATCGAGTACGATTCCTCGCGACCAATTATCGAAACAAGATCGCACATCAACTTCAGTTTCTAACAATGTAGTTTTTTCCAGAAAAAGAATAATTACCAACTGAAAGATTTCTTAACATTTCTAGTTGTAAGAGTGAAAAGTTATTGGCGAATAAAGCTATATCTGATTCCCATTAAAGACACCTACCTTTTATTTCCACACGATCGAAACGAAATTGAACTCCAAGAGGCAAGAAAGAAAAAGAGCAGCACGGTACAGAATCGATGCAAATAAAAACTCACGTAATTTTTTTCGATAGTAAGAAGTGTATATTACTACAACATATTTGTGGGATATCGATTGCAACAATGATCGCATTCGAGAGAAAAAGGTGAGGGGTTTTGGATCGGTGGTTCGCTACTCTTCTACACGGCGGATACGTATACAATAAAGAAAAAACACACACATATTAGCTGTGACAATAATTTGTTCGCAATATCAGTATGTGTCATGTAGTCGCATTCACCAGGATAGATTACAAGGACTCGTGTTTAAGAAAAAAAACGGAAAATGAAAATCGAAAACTACGCTCCATCGAAACGTGGTAAATCGTTATCGAACGCGGGGAGGTCCAATTTTCGGAGGACACCCCGTTTTCTCGTCTATAAAATTATTATAAAATATGTATACATATGTATATATATAATATATATATAATATATGGCAGTTAAACAATGTTTCGTTTTGTTGATCGTCTAAAAAAGAACAAAGGGAATGGAATGTCTCTTAATAATGTTTCTTCTTTACTCTTGTTTTCTTTTTTTTTTTTTTGATTTTCGTTTGTTCCACTTCGTTCGATTTTTTTTCTTTTGTTTTTCGTTAAAAAATCCGCATAAACAATTGGCAGACAGTCGTTGGCAATGTTCCGTTCGCTTAAAATGGAAGAAAGAAAATCGTGAGGTTCGCACTAGGCAAGAACAATCGTCGAGTAACCTGAACGAGCGTCAGTTCGACACTTAACATTGAGTATTACGCAGGTAACTGGTTAACATTTATCTCAGTGTGTATACATCCATGCTAGCTTAGTATTTAATTGGTCAAGATACTGTTTACGCTGAAAGAACATACGTGTTACGTTTCTTCGGCTATATTTTTCTTTTCGATTCTCGCTGTTCGTTTAGTAATTCGTCAACGACATTGTTTCATTGCAAAGTTTCAACTTTCTTGTACTATTTCGAATGAGAACGAGCGTGCTGATCGCGATGCAACTGCAGTGATATGGAATAAAAAGTTGGACATACTGACACGCGAAAAGTACGTGTAAGAGAAGCCTTTATTTGTCTTAGACTTGGGAAGAACCGATGAGAAGAAATTTTAAGGAGAATATTCTGTGTAGACAGAACCTAGAGAAATGTTCGAGGGAGTTTAATTTTCTCGCGATTATCTACGATTGTTTTTTCACTGCAGTTCCATGACGACATCGTCACGCTAGCAGAAGTACGGTGTCGTTCGAAGTCCCGAGGTTGTGTAGAATGAAGCTCTGCAGCGTAGAATTGATCGATTAGGCCAATTAAAGTAGCGAATCGCGGAAAGTCGTTCAGGGTGAAAGCTTCACGGATTTGTCTCTGCGACAACAGGTATTTTTTTCTTCTAGAGCAGTTATCTCTGGCTGTTCTCGTTAATGCGTTAATGTACACGTGAAATACATGATCGACAGATATATAAACAGTTCTCTTATCGTAGGCCTGTGCGAATACTTGCGTAGCATTCAATGATCAAGAAATGAACGCCGAAAGGATGGGTTCGTTAGTATAATTGTAAAAAACACCGTATTGACGTTGCGATTTTTTCATTCTTTTTCATTCGTTCTGTTCTTTTTTTGTTCTCTCGCAGTCTTACGGTTTCTTCACGCTTTGTTTCTCTTTTTATCGAATAATCTACATCTCGCTAATGCTATACAACCGATTCCCCGATGACATTTTCGTCCCGTTAATTCTCTAATTTGGTCGACTGTACGATCAAGCGTTCGACTATTCTCTCCTCGTTCTCGAACGGTTCACAAAGGATGGATACCGAACCTCTCGCGAATTTCGTGCTCGTGCGATGTCGATTCGATCGTGTCACAGATCACGATAATGCGTTATGGGTCGTTCGTTGAATCCACGGTTCGTGTAGGCCTTCAATTATTCGCTTTTATCGAACACGCGTCTTCGATCAGACTCTCGATGGCTGCGTCTGCAGTTCGTTCATCGCGCGATCCGACTAATTTCATCGACGATTTCACCCACGATCATTATCGAATGCCAAACTGTCCGTCGAAATAAAAGCACGCAACGGAAGACCGTGAAACGTCTTTAATCTGGCGACTTTGTGGCGAGCCATTGAAAGAACGTACTTTTATAGTATAAATGAAATTCTCTCATTAGATGTAAAAAAATGGAACAATTTCTCATTGATATTGTATTAGGAAATTATACATATAAAATTGAATGGTATCTTCAGTAAATGATCAAGACATTCGCATCGGTCGTCTTACATTTTCCCGCCACGCAGTTTCCGAATTAAATGAAAAGCGATCTGTTTAACCCCTTGTCTATTTGCTCAACGTTCTGTAATACATGAAGAGAAGGGGTTAAAAATGAAACATAACTTGCAGTCACAGTCACAGCGTATATATGCGAGTTCACACGACCAAAGAACAAAATGAGAAGAGATGGACAATAAAAGAGAAAAGTTGAAAGGATAAGAAAGACGGGCCAAAATCGTTATCCTTCCAGAACCAACGCACCCCTTTCCCTCCCGAGCAAACGAACAGCCGTAAACGCAGCCACGTTCGTCCCCACGGTGAAAAACTCGAACGCATAGAGTACAGAGAAACAACGATGGGAACGATAAGAATAAAACGATGATTATCCCGGAAACAAAATGAAGAAGAAAAAGAAAAGAAACGTGTGCGTTGTCGATTACGATTGTGTTATGCTGACTAGAGTCTAAATTATCCTTCTATACACACCTATCTCGTTATCCTCCTCGAATTAATTATGTATAATATTTATATATGTATAAACGATGCCGACGATCGCTGCACATCGATCGATTCACACGCATCCCCACACCTTGCACTCTTATATTTATTCTCTTTTATCATTCTCTCCCTCGCACGCTTTCCCCGTTTGTCCTCTTTTCATCCGTAATAGGTACATCCAGAGTTTACGGTGCCTTATCGTAAAATACAGTACAGATTCGTGTTCAACGCCGTTCGAAGAGGTACCGATGGTATACGATTCAACGAAAACGAAAGTTTGCCCTAATTCTTCGAATTCAAGTATGGCTGCTTTTTTTATTCGTCAATTTTTAAATTCTGGAGGAGGGACTGGAGCCACGGACAAAGCCAGAGAAATGGATTCCCTAAAATAAAGCTTTTATCCTACTCTTCGGGAACAGTATTTTATCTAGTCCGATCTTTATAGAAAAAAGTGTTAAGGATATCGACTATCGTTTAGTAAAGATTTAACATCTAACCTGGCTACGTCCATGAGCAGATCGACGGTGTTCGCGAGAATTGTCCAGCTAAACTATCACACGGCTGAAATCTCGAGAACACCCTCAATGGAAATATTATGAAAACGTGTACGCGTGGTCCATAACGATACCTCGAATGGCGAGTCGAAACACGGTTTACATTTTTAATCGTCCTTCATATCATAAATATCTGAATATAATATATATATTTATATTTATATTTGCATTTTATATTTATATATTTATATTTATATACTTTTTCTCTGTTTATGTATACGATGGGATTTATCGCGTGTGATCCTTGATCTCTTCCGTTCGTCTAAGCATTAATAACAGTCAGTTCGTTCGTAGTAGAATTATCACGCTAAAGCCTAGCCGTTCGTCGTCGATTTTGTTGTTGAAAACCTACGGTTGGTACGCTTGTGTTTTTACATGAACGTGTGTGTAAGTGTGTGGGTGTGCGCTCGCGTCCAGACACGTCTTTGCACGGGTTCAACAATTCGCGCTCTAATTATTCTTAATTACACGCCTAAGATATTGTACATGATACAGACATCTTTTAGTTCGTTTCCTTCGTCTCGTAGGGAGGGATTCGCTGGCTCAAATCGGTCCAGAGGAATACAACTACTTTCGCGATGCCTTTTTCTCTGGCAATTACGAGAAGGAAGACATCGTTTTGTTTCGATCCAGTGCGAGTTTCTCGCGTACCGTTCGCGATCCGTGTCCTTCGATGAATCTCGCTGATCGTAAGTCCAATGATAAAAATGCTATTCGAGTGCGTTCGAAAATGGTGAAAGAAAAACGGGTCATAGTGGTCGTTGATCGCGATGGACGCTGAACTCGACGCTGGACGTCGGCTCGGTTTCTCTGATTCGCCGAGAGCCTGCGATCAGACTCCAGGCGGTTATGTTCGCTTCGTTATCGAATCGACTGACGTTTGCTCGTCAGCCGGAACAATTAATACGTAACTGGCGACCATATCGATGGCAAAAGTGAAAACGTATGTCTTCGATCGAATTCGTGTAACGAAAGTGTTACTCCGGGCAAGAGAGCATCGAAGACCGAGGAATCGAATCTACTAATTTAAAAGAACGTGCTCTGATACATTTTTCTATTTTCCCTACGCTTTTCTTCTCTCTTTTTCGCCTCGTTTATTATGTTCCTTAACCTCATCGACGTGTCCAAAAGTTAACAAGAAATACATCCATCCTCTTTCGCGTTATCCTCGATTTCGAATAATTTTTGCTTTCCGTCAATGTATTTGCTTTCTACCTTCCCGACACGCGAACTACATCTATCCTCTAAATTTTAATACGGTTGTTCCTTCAGAATTCTTCTTGGGAAACGATGCTCTTAAATAACTTGATTTCAGTCTCGAATCGAGTAGCTCGAAGGAAACAGTATGGTTTCTTCTTTTACTTTAGATACGTTACATCGACATCGAAGTTAAAACCGATAACGAGTTAAGATCGTCTTGTCGCGAATTACGGTTACATACGTTTTTTATTAACACGGACACGGTTACATACATGCACACACACACAGATATATTTTTTTCAGATTTTTCAGATTTTTTAACAACATTGTCTAATTTTCGTTCGTCGTCGTCGTCGTCGATCGTAATTGGCAGTAGAGATTAAAACGAAGGCCGTTACGGTAGAAAACACGATGTAGCTCGAAAAAATCGCGGTTCACAGGCAGTTATCGTTTCCGTATCACTTTATCGGCGATATAATGTACATGTAAGTATACTATAAGAACCTTATTAGATGGGAACAGTCTTCGAGAGTGTCGATAAGAAAATGATCGCGACGAAGGAACTCGTGGTCAGAAAAAACGATGACGATCGTACATTCTTTTTTTTATTTTTTCTCATTTTTTTCGTCCTTATATATCACAATAAAAATTCCGTTGAATCACATGGTTTCAAACAGCGTTGTTCGATCGTCGTTGATAATATAGTCGATCGAGGCCCACCGGAATCATCGAGCACGCGGTTTTGCGATTGGAAAATGGTGAATTATCGAACGATTCGGATTGTCGTCGCTGTACTTTGTGCCCGGATTCGTTGGGCCAACGTCTCCAGTATTGCTTGAGTTTCTTAATTAAAACTTACAATCGAGGCTCCGATTATTTAGTCAAAGTATTACTCTCTCCGTTAGCAAACGGATCGTTACACTTGTATCGATTACGATCCCATCGAGTTACGATTTACCAATTACGATTACGATCGTTGAGTTCCGCGTTTGTATGATTATAATCGTTTCGTGAATGGCACGCTAGGCTTCCTTGGGAAAATAGCAGCGTAGTGACGTCTTACCAATCGCGTGTAAACGTTTACTCGAGAAAATTGTATAATACCTAGTAACTCTGTCACTTCCATCGCCGTTACTCCCGAGGAAACACACGTGCCGGTATACACTTGGGTGCAATATAGATTTATTTCGACTAAGAATAAGCGTAGAGGCTTGTATTCGCTTCATCAAACGGAACAGAATTTCTTACACTGCACCGAAGATGTACACGTTTGTTCGAGCGCCATTAAAAGAAATTGACCGCGAATCGAACAGACACACAGAAACAGCGTTTTTTCTCAATTCCCTGTGACATCGCATATTCTTGTCGGCGAAAAGAGAAAAGAAGGCGTCGGTTTTCGATTCTGTTATCCAATGACGTTGAAAGCGCGAATTCGATCAACCGGTCTTCGTTCGAACGATAAAATCAAAAGTGGAAAGACTTAAATCGAACCGGAGCGAATATAAACGATTCTTTGGTAAAGAAGTTGTCGAATGATCCAACTTACGCGACAGTATTACGCGTACATGTATACATATACATACATGTGTGGTATGTGTGGCTCGTGTATGCGTTTGAGATTATGTAAGTGTGCACGTAGGCGCGCGTGCATGTCGACGTGTATATACAAAAACGAGGAAGTGTACACTTACACGATGAACAGCGTGAACGAAGGTCCAGAAATGGTGTGCGTTTGCGAATGGTTTTTTTGGCACCCAGCAACACCGGAAACGGGACCTCCATTATTTCCTTTTTTCCTACAACACGTGTACTCGTACTCTCTCGCAGCGGAGCGTACGCGTACACATCTGCGCAAACTAACGTGACTAATTATTTACACTAAGGGTGCTCGAAAGCCATTTTCAGGCCGTTCCTAGGTTCGAGTCGCCGTCCTTCCGTTTGTGCGAAGACGTGTCCAATGTGGAACTCCTTGCGCTATGGCCTGTGCGAAAGGAAAATTTGATCAGTAATCCGCGACGATTCTACGCACGGCGATCGAATGAAGGATTTGCGAGCACAAAGGAGAAGCGGGAACTCACAGAATCAGGATTACACTTCGGGCAGTGAGGAGCTCGATCGGTTACAGCGGCTCGGACCGGCTCGAGGTAACACTGCAACCGAAGATCGGCAGGCATCATTGTGGCAACATCTTGCAGCTCGTCTCCATACCTTCTGGTGGCACACGCATGCTGCCGTTCGTTACGTAGCCGTTCGCATCGACGATCACGGAAACGCTGCCCGGATGATTGTGGTAGCTGACGTTCCGATGGGTCAGTACGATATTTTTCTCGTGTTCGTTCGCGGTGTGGCTGAACAAACAGTTCTCGCTGCTTCTGCTACTGCATGGCTCCATCGAGTGATCCACCCGGATCGGAATGGAATAGTCGGATATGGAGTTCACCTCCACGGTCGCGTACTCCCTGATCATCGTGGGTTTCGGAGAATAATCCACCTGCATGTGTTGCATCGACGAGGTCGGCACGTCCGTCGGATCCGTTATCGTGGACACGTGACCGTTGGCCATCGAGTATAGATCCGGTTCGTCGTGACCTTTCGACGACAGCGTGGTCTCCAGACATTGATATAGCAACGCGTAATCCTCCTGCGAAGAAGGAGGATGTATATCGGAACACTTCGTTAATCAAAAGCGTATTAATTTTGGAGCTGAGTCAAAGGTTAATATGATTCTTAAAGGAGTCTGCATCACTCTGATTCGTTCGTCACTCTGCAGTTTAAAAGGAAAAGAACGTACCTTTGATCGGAAGACTCCGGGCCGTTTCATGTACAGCAGTTTCGCGAACATATAAATATCAGCAGTCTTCTCGAATTCTAATTGTTTGTTCAGCGTCGTAAGAAGGACGAAAATAGCTGCCTCGACACCACCGTACCTAGAAATTATGCGGAATTACAACTGACACCTCGTCGATCATCGCAGAAGCTTTACATTAGGAGGATGTCAACGGAGAATTACCTGTCCATCACCACGATAGGACCATTTTGGTAGTCCCGATGCAAATCATGGATCAAAGTGACAAATGGTCGGGGATTGGTGTTGTGTGGCCAGAAGCCGGGCTGAGATCGCGGTCCTTGGACGATTTTGGCACTCAATTCGTAATCGTCTTGTAGAGATCGGACCGCGACTTCGCGCAAGATCATCCCGCTAACTGTTTCTTTGATCCCGCAGGATCGTACGCGGAAGGTTTCCGACTCCAAGTCTTTACCCTCGGTGGGCCAAAATTCAGGATACTCCTAAAAATAGACACACGCTCTTGAAGCGCTCGTCCTGCTTCAATTTCGAATACAAAGACGCTTCGCTTACATCGTCGCATTCCGTCAGCATGACGACAGTCTGAGCATTGTAATCCCACATCATCTGCCAGAATTCCATGATGGTGTTTTCCATGGGGTGTTGAGTGATGATGAATTCGCGATTGCGATGGAAGCCTGGGAGTTCGTTTAGAATTAATTCGGTTTTGGTTTCAACATCGAACATTGTCCTTTGTTCCTTTTCATAAAAGACTTACCAGCAATCCATGTAGCGTTGATGTAGTCGCTTCCATCGATCCCGGGCTTCGGTGTTAGGTGAACACGAGCAGTCTCGATGGAAATTACGTCTTGATTGCGATTCTTGTGCACGTTGCATGGTTTGATCGCGGACACCAGATTGAACTCCTTCGGTTTCCACGAAGTCACCAACTATAATCCAATCATATCTTTGTGTCTCCTGTGAACCACTTTGTCTACACTGTAGACCGGTCCTTACCTTGTATTGTGCTTCAAGATTGTTCCACGCGTCGGTATTGCTGTTGTTAGGATTTAGCATGTCTTGTACGTACTCTAGCAAGCGATTAGCGTCAATATTGGTTTCACCGCTCTCGATGGCCTCTTGTAAAGCATGGTGGATGAACACGTACTGTTCTTCGGTTTGTACCAAAAAGTTTCGCTGCGTGCGAATGTGTTTTAAAAAGCCAAACACATTCACTTCGTTTTTGCACTTGGCTTGTTTCAACATTGCATCGATGACGATGTAGGTACCGGTGCGTCCGACACCAGCGCTGAAACAGGATGAAATCTCGATTAGTATCTTCGAGTCTTCCATAAGTATCTTGAATTTTTCAGGCCCTGTACCTGCAATGGACAACGATCGGTCCAGCATCGGGTGGGTTGGCGTTGGAAGATTTTCGAATGAAACTCAAAACTGGTAACGGATGTTCTGGCACCCCATGATCTGGCCATCCGGTGTAATGGTATTGCCATATAATACGTTCTCCCATGTTGACTCCGTTCTTCCGCTTTTTGACCTATGAATATCAGTTAGGCCTCGAATCACGGAATCAGTCGATTAAGATGAACTTAATGAATATCAGGACTTTTAATGGTTCCGACTAACCTTTAAGTGGCGAATCTGTAGAGTGCGAATGGTGTAGGTTGCCATCACGTCTTCTCTCAGCAGTGTCACCTGAATGTATCCATAAGTCTCGGATCCCTTTTTAGGCCAGTACATATCACACTTTTTCTGCAACGGAGAAAAAAAGTATGAAGGAATTTGTTCCAACCAACTGGTTTGCAAGAAGAATAAAGATGTGCTCCCATAATACTTACACGACCACGTTCCACCAGGTTGGTAATCATCACGACAATCGAGACTCGCTGCTCCCAAACCATGCGCCAAAATCCGTCGAAAGTGGGCGGTAATGGACCCTGTGTACCGATATACGCGCGTGTACGTTGCCAACCATCGATGTAATTCGCGTTCACGTAATCATGACCCTTTTTGGGTGGCCCTCCACCGCACGATAACAGCTGTACCCGAGTATGATCGTCTGCGGACAGAGATTTCTTTTTCAATGGCGTACATTCTTTGCAATTCGAAATTCATTCGTTTGCGCGCGGAAAAAGGATGCAGCTGCACATTTGTTGTCTATCTATACGTTGAGGCAAGAATGCGAAGCGTTCCTAACAGAACATTATCGAGCGATGATGCATGAAATTTGCGACGCGTTACGGCAATCAGTGCATTAATTATATTCTAATCTCGTCCATCTCGCCGTAGACGTTCAATTAAACTCTGAAATCCGTGGATCGACACGTTACAGATTCCGATCGATCAGGTGATCGCGTGTCTCTCCTTCTTTCATCCTCTGCTCCGTTGATGGGCATTAACGAGCAGTGCCGCGAAGCATCTGTGACCTCGTTGGCGAGCGTTGCCGGTCACTCACATTAAAAGCGAACGAGAGCAGCTCGTTAATCCGATAACATTGCGAATGTCCGAGGCGACTGTACGTAGCGTAGCGAATATCAAAGTCTCTTCCGACTCTCGTCTAATTCGCGGCCACCATTATCCTTATCTGGATGACTTTCGATACGTTATCGGCAGAAACTCATAAAAGGATTCTCTTCGCTGCTCGTCGAACCCGATCGGGTATCATAGATCGCATCGAGAAAGATTCAAAAAATATTAACTCGTTCGATATTCGATTCGAATCTTTTCGCGAGAGCTTTGTTCGAGAGATCGTTGAAAATAAAATCCTTCGCGTCGGACAATGACGATGGAACGATAACCGGTCACACCTTTGGTTCATCGATCGGCCCATCAGCAAAACTAAGGAGGCGCGACGTTGTTTAAATCGATTGAACAGACGCGTCGAAAACACCTACACGACGTAATCGCCGACAGACATAGCGAGGTTGTAACTTCAAATTTTCAAGAACATTAAACGACGCGGGGAGTATGCGTAATGCAACGACCGATTGTGTCAACGCGTGTTTCACGAATCAAACGAAAGTCGAGCGTAATTTCAGCTCTATTGGAGACCGTTTCCGACGCAGTCACGACCGGCGCAGCGACGATTGCAGACTTCCGATACGCGCGATTACAATTGTCATCGCATTGTGTCGCCCCATCGCAGTCGCGAAACCTTCGTCGACTTACGGACTCGATAACGAACGGACTAACCGGAAACCGCGCGTCGAGTCAATCGATTTTGTCAACGGTGTGATCGATCGAAAGATAACGAAGGTGCTCGCGATTCTTCACCGAAATGCAGTCCGAACTGGAAGATGAAAAGAAGCATCGTTTAAAAATAGGAACCGGTGGGCCACGGTAAAATAAAGAGGACACGCGTTGGACCTGTCGAAAGCAACCTGTCGAAGACTCGAAAGAAGAACGATCTTTCGATGTCGTTTCGATTAACGAGCGTTAATTACTCACAGGCCAATATGTTCAGATATCGATTCTTCGCTTTGTTCTCGACGTATTGTGAATTCTCCGCGGTGAATTTGCCACTCTCCGACTGAATGAACTCGTACTCCTTGCTGAATCCGATGTCCCCGTCAGCGTGCAAGCTGGCGACATGTTGCACGAACTTTTGAATAGCAACCGCCGTCCGTTCTCCATCCTGTTCGCTGTTCTCCCATTCCTGAAGAGTCGGCACGCTGCGCGGCGGATAGTCGAGGAAGTAGTACGCCGTGTGGAAGCATTTCCTGAAAATTGGCCTCAGGCAAGGCCTTATGAGTTTCTCCATAAGCATGCATTCGAACGTAAAAATGAAAGGGGAACGGCACGGGAACAAATAAGATAGGACGGCGTTTGCCGAACGTGTTCGATCAAGGAAACGCCACGCCGTCTCGGAAATGCAATTTAATCGAACGTTATCGTTGAACGGATAAGAAATGGTAGAAATAAATTAATTAAACGCCTCATAGAGAGTTAACTAAATAAATCATTTGCGTTCTCCAAGATCGGCGATTTTCGAACCGGTTGCCTACAATTTTCCGAAACTCACAGTTCAAGGAACTTGTTCATCCCGTCAACGCTTTTCTCTCGCTATCCATCCTACGCGTACAAGAAAGTTTCCACGATCGGTACCAAGAATGGAATGGAACGTTCCTCGGAATAGATCGCCAGCAGGCTGAACTACCGTCCGTGACCCAGAAATATTCCTTCACGAATCGTTTGGTCTCGCGACGAACGGTATCACGGTTGAATCGGCGGCCTTGAGCATCTTCGTCGACGTCGATCGAGGCGAAAATACGCGATTGCACGAAACGACGCACACGTGCTTTGGCACACGATTCGAACGCAGTCCGAGCGAAACGCGGCGATCCGCTTCAAGAAACGTCTCTGTACGACTGGGAAGCCTTACTTCGTCGTCGTTACTAGCCGTTATCGCGAACGATAAGGGGTCAGCCGTACGACAGAGAAGGAGAAAGATTGCGGGAAGCGAAGAAAAGGAAGGGAAAGCGGGGCGAGGCAAGGGAAGAGAAGGAGTAGCGAGGCAACGGTGGAGACGCGAAGCACCTACGAGTGTTTGCCGTTCGCGTTATTGTTTTCCCGTCCCATTAGCGATGATCGACAGGCTAAATATCGTGGAACCCGTCAGCGGACAAGTGGATTCTCCGCTCGATGCACAGACCCGCTATCGAACTAATCCGAGCTGCTTAAAACGATACCGTTGCAGTAGTTACGACCGTGCGTAACAAGACGCGCGATAACGAATTCGCGGCGTACGAATTATTTTTGGTTCTTCCTATCGTTATTTTCGGAAGATCCGTTGACGCTTCGTCGACGATATACGAGGAAACGGAGAGACAACGCTATGCGAAAAAACGAAAAATAATGGGCAGATGTTTGATCCTCACTTCCATAAGATGAAGGATGTGATCATCAGCATCACCGCCACACAGGCGCAGATCATTCCAGCGATTACGCCGCTGCTAAGCTCTCTGGTGCTGTGTGGTAACAACGGCGGAGTCCTGTCGCAATCCTGAATGACCCGCACTTTCCGTGGAAGAGAACCTTCTCCGTGTATGATCACTCGATTGTCGATTGCGCTCCGCGTGCCTCCACGAACCACGATCTCGTACACGCTGTTCATCGTTAGGTTCGGTATGATCGTCTGCAAAGAAGGTTATTTTCTTTTTCTTGGAAGAGGGTTCAGGAAAGAAAAAGAATTTATTAAGAATCAGCGTTATTAATCTCGGAACAGCGCTTCTGTGCCGTTTGTTTCGTTTTATCTCCGTCGGTCTGCGAGTATTTCCATGTTCTCCGTTGCAACGAATTCTCTATGAGTCATCTCGAAATCTTAACGTGGAACACAACGAGATAAGGAAACTTGCACGTTTCACGAGCTTCTGCTATGTCCACAGTCAATAGCCGACAAAACGCTCGCTAGTCCAAGGATATCTCGCGTCGGTCGAGCGTGTACGCTCGACAGACTTAACGTTCCCGATCCGCTATCAACGTTCATCCGTAATAATCTTATCTACGAGTTATCGCATTGTTTCGAGTGAAAGATCGGGGTAAAAGACTCGACCTACGCTTCGCGCGGTAACGTAAGATCGAAATATTTCGAACGGCCGAGTTCCAGTCTACTAATCTTCCGCGAAAAAGCGGAGAACGGAGAAAGTGGAAATTACTGAAACATCCAGTTGGGAGTAATCTCGCGAGGGAGCCGAACGAAGAAAGGAAGAAAACGTACGGCGCTCTCCAGATGATTTTTCTCCGCGACTACTTCTATTTCCTCGTAACGTTTCCCGCTCTCGATTCGATAGTTGATGAAATAGTAGTCGATGGAGCCCCAGAAGGCATTTGGCCTGGCCCATTGGATGTACACGGAGTCGTGGGTCGGGCACGTCACGTTCAAAATCAATGGAGCGCTGGGTCCTGCGATGTCTGTCCGACGAATTATGTGATCCGATGGTTCGCCCTCGTTTTTCCACGTGTACGCCTTCACCCATATCTTGTATTCGGTATACGGTTCTAAAAGATGGTCCCCATCATTGACAACTCGTTAGCGTGTCCCGAATAACTCGATTGTTAAACGTTACGAAAGAATGTGTTTCGAAAAAACGAATTAGAGTTACATTAGTAATAATGCCGATATCGGCTCATTATCTAACTGTGCATTCATCTGCAGTCATCGAGCTGGAACATGTAACTCGGTCTGTTGATAAGACTTCCAGCTTATCGGCGAATACGCTGACGTATCTAATTCTTTTTACTTGGGCGATAATTCTCGAAACAGATATTACAAGAATCGTTTGTTTGATCTCGATTTTATTTCTAGCTAAAAAACGGGCGATGCATCGAAGGTGTGTACTTACCCAGGTTCTTTAAAACGAATTTGATGACCGGTCCATCGTACTCGTCGGTTTTGTACATTTGGACGTCGGTGTAGTTGGAACGTATGTAGTAAATACGATAACCCAAAATGATTCCATTAGCGCTATCCGGCTCGGCCCATGACAGTTCGATGGTGGTGGAAGTGATGTCATGAGACGAGAGATTTAATGGTTTCGTTGGCACTGCGAAAAATATAATGATAATTAACTGTAATGATCGCTAATTATTTATGAGCCGCAATATCGGCGAACGGCGCGTTGTATAACCTGCTTATAATTAATCACTTTCAACGTAGGTTATTATTAAAATACCCTGCTTTTAAAGAAGATTCCTTCCGAGAAGGGAGCTTCGAACATTAATTCCTGATACAATGAATGTAAACTGCACCAGGACAGGATGTAATAATTAAATTATTAAAATAGCTGCTTCCGACGGATCAGCGAAGTTAATTAGCCTTTTCGGTTATTTAGAAAATACATACTCGCAGTGGACGAGGTTTCTCTTTGACAAAACCGCCTGAAACGCGGATTCCAGTACTCGGAGTACAAGAGCACCGCTCAAAAACGCGCGATTCCGTAAATGATTTTTCGGTCGACGTACTCGGCACCTCTTTACTCTCTTTTTCGTCGACCGCTCATCATCTTCCAAGGAGGTGGCTTTCCAATTTCCCACGTACAAAGACGAGAGCGAGCTTGCGACGACCAAAGTCTGAATAATTAATTTCGCCTCGAGTGTCTTCTCAGACCCCTTCGCGCCGCGACGAGTAACTCTATAGACACCATTCACTTTTCGTACGAGCGACCGTAGGCACCGAGAACATCGGGTCCGTGTTGCATCACGAACATCTAAACACCGAGACTAACAGGAACCGCCGTGCAATCGGACGGGTATCAAATTTGATCGCGACTCGTCTTCGCGGGGCTTTCTTTTCCACGAGACGACTACCTTCGAGGGAAGAAACAAAAGTGCTACAAGTACGAAACAATCTATCGTTTGTACGGCTTCGAGATCGAATTTCGTGAAATTTTAGCAAATCGTGCAAAGGTTTCCGCTGTCTTCGAATGAAATCGAATCGAGAGTTCGCATTCGGATTCGGTGCTCGAGTAAGCAATTTTGTCGATTCCGAGAGTCGAGAAGAAAATCTGAGGAGTGTCGAGGAGAAAGAAAATGTAGCGTTCGAAGGATTGCGTTAACGCACCTTCATTGTGAAATCGCTTCACGCTCGTGTGAATCAGCTTTTAAGCGACACCAAGCATGCGCGTCCATCAACAATTAATCGCGATGACCGGTCCATCGTACTCGTCGGTTTTGTACATTTGGACGTCGGTGTAGTTGGAACGTATGTAGTAAATACGATAACCCAAAATGATTCCATTAGCGCTATCCGGCTCGGCCCATGACAGTTCGATGGTGGTGGAAGTGATGTCATGAGACGAGAGATTTAATGGTTTCGTTGGCACTGCGAAAAATATAATGATAATTAACTGTAATGATCGCTAATTATTTATGAGCCGCAATATCGGCGAACGGCGCGTTGTATAACCTGCTTATAATTAATCACTTTCAACGTAGGTTATTATTAAAATACCCTGCTTTTAAAGAAGATTCCTTCCGAGAAGGGAGCTTCGAACATTAATTCCTGATACAATGAATGTAAACTGCACCAGGACAGGATGTAATAATTAAATTATTAAAATAGCTGCTTCCGACGGATCAGCGAAGTTAATTAGCCTTTTCGGTTATTTAGAAAATACATACTCGCAGTGGACGAGGTTTCTCTTTGACAAAACCGCCTGAAACGCGGATTCCAGTACTCGGAGTACAAGAGCACCGCTCAAAAACGCGCGATTCCGTAAATGATTTTTCGGTCGACGTACTCGGCACCTCTTTACTCTCTTTTTCGTCGACCGCTCATCATCTTCCAAGGAGGTGGCTTTCCAATTTCCCACGTACAAAGACGAGAGCGAGCTTGCGACGACCAAAGTCTGAATAATTAATTTCGCCTCGAGTGTCTTCTCAGACCCCTTCGCGCCGCGACGAGTAACTCTATAGACACCATTCACTTTTCGTACGAGCGACCGTAGGCACCGAGAACATCGGGTCCGTGTTGCATCACGAACATCTAAACACCGAGACTAACAGGAACCGCCGTGCAATCGGACGGGTATCAAATTTGATCGCGACTCGTCTTCGCGGGGCTTTCTTTTCCACGAGACGACTACCTTCGAGGGAAGAAACAAAAGTGCTACAAGTACGAAACAATCTATCGTTTGTACGGCTTCGAGATCGAATTTCGTGAAATTTTAGCAAATCGTGCAAAGGTTTCCGCTGTCTTCGAATGAAATCGAATCGAGAGTTCGCATTCGGATTCGGTGCTCGAGTAAGCAATTTTGTCGATTCCGAGAGTCGAGAAGAAAATCTGAGGAGTGTCGAGGAGAAAGAAAATGTAGCGTTCGAAGGATTGCGTTAACGCACCTTCATTGTGAAATCGCTTCACGCTCGTGTGAATCAGCTTTTAAGCGACACCAAGCATGCGCGTCCATCAACAATTAATCGCGAAAATTGCCAGGCGTTCGTAAAAGATCAGATAAAATTTCTGGCGATCGAATTACGAAGATATCGATACTCGAGAATTACGAGTCTAGTAGCTCGGCTAATCGAACGTAACCATCGACAGAATTACTTTCTTAAGGTTAATTTAATTAGCCAGCGCTTCAATTTCATTTTCAGCTGGAATTCCTCAATTAACGCGCATGCTATCGTAACACGGTTATTCGCGATTTAATTTGCGGAATAACCCGACGTTATTCAGAGACGAGATTTAATTTCAGATTCTTTCCGTTATCGATTTTTTGATCCTATCCTACCTTAGATATTAATTTTCTGTTTTGTAATTCGCGTTCTCTCGACAATTTTTCCATGCCGTTTCATCGTAAAAGCGTTTCGCGACAATCAGCCGGGTTTTCTTCTTTCGCGACTCTTCCTCGAGCTACGGCTTTTCTTTATCATGAAAAAACCTTGCTCGAGGGACGAGCTAGACCGTATTCGTGTTCACGGTGCATTTGGAAGGACACGGCGAGAGACGGGGAAACAACAGTCGGATAGAACCTTTAGAGAATTCGCAGTCGGATGACGTTGTATCGAGTGCGAGACACGCTCCGGTTGAAAAATGAATAAGCAAGGTCGAGACTCGCGTAAATTGATCTGTCTCTCGTGGACTAACTGACGGAAGAAAACAACCGGGCAACGATTACATCGATGACTCGTGCGATTTCTCGTTCAGAATTTTCCGGGTCGAGCTCGCGACTGCGGGAAATCGAAACCGTATTTCTTCCCTCGCTCTCGTCGTTGCTCGAGTACCTTTATTTGGCGGGATCTCGTGGAAAGACTTTCTTAGAAGTTCTGTAATCACTTTCCACTTTTGGAGTACGGTTGTTCCTCCAGTTATCTCGTTACGAGCTTGAAAAGCTTCCCAATCCATTAAATTGAACAACGAAATTTCCAACGTTATAGAATTTCAAATGACTAGTTATTATCGTCATTAGTAAAGACACAGTGTACTTAGTGCACCGATTAGATTAATCTTGAATCGGGTTAAATAGATTCTTAATATTCAACACGATGTAAACGTTCGATCTACTTTCCTTTAAAATAGTAGCTACTTTCTTTCGTAGCCCGATACACGATCGGACGTTCGTGTTAGCGCTAGAATAATGTGCACCAACCGGAAAATTTAAATATAATACACACGCGAAATGGCTAGCTGTCATGTAACGATTCGGTTAACCGCTAACTCTGAATTGTCTCGGCGCGAAAGAAAATGCCACGGTGAAACCCGAAGATGCTATCGAGATTGTCACGAAACGATCTATTATACAAACAACTCGCTTTTATTACCAGTCGACCGTAAATAGAGCTACTTTTCGCCGACTCAGAATCGAATTTTACGCGCTTCACGACACAGCTTGGTCAGAAAGTGTACCTGCAATTATCGACATAATTGTACGGACGGTTCTGCGGTGGTGCACGAGAAATAGGCGAAAGTCGCTTTATTAGGATCGGTTCGCGATGAATAACGGTACCGAAGTGAAAGGAGTAGTTGATAAGAAAACCAGTAATCATCGACTACCTGTTTCGAGTGTTGCACCGATCGCGTTTCCTGGACGGCAAGTTTATGAACTTGAAATATACGAGGGCGTGTTTTTTGATCGACCACTGGTTCACGGTGTCTACGTTATTCGAGCTCGCCATGCACCATTGCGATTTCGTCCTCGAGTCGGTGTCGAAACAAAAACGTTGGTAATTTAACGTGTTTCGAGTAGCTTGACTCACCCGTGACTCACTTTGTAGTTGAGAATTTTGTTCGAAGGATATTCGGGTTCTAAGAAGTCTGGAATAACGTAGAAAGCGAAGTTTCAATGTTATCTCCTCGTTATCGCGAAAGGTCGTTCTATGTTATTTCACGTTATCGATAAAATGTCTATTACTTGGTGCAACGAATGGAACCGATTCCTGAATTAGCATCTTTCCGATCACAAAAAAAAGGAAAAGTGAGATAAATTTTCGTGGGCAAGCTCGTAGCTCATTAGTGCGCGTAGCTGCAGTTCAAGTGCAACAATAAACGAACTAAAAGTCGACGATCCATTTTGGAGCATGCAAATTAGGAACGCGACCTTGGCATCCTCCTCCATCCTTTCGTAAAAATAGAACGTGTCTGGATGCCACGAAAACGGACAACGTGTTCTGACTTCCAAAAATAAGCGAAAAAAGGAAAGACGAATCCAAATACGATACCGGCGAATTTCCATAATTTTATAGCCGACTGGCGCCACGAGATCGAGTCTAACGCTCGAACGAAGGAGTCGAGTCAATCGTGAGTCACGCGATTAGTCTCGGGTCACGATTGACTCGAGCAACGTCGTTCTGGGATTAAAATAAATTTGCGGAACGTTCGAAGAAAATCTGCAGTCAGAAATAATGGGCTTTTCGCGATTCGTTTCCTGGCGCGAGGTGCTGGATCGAGTAACGATTTCTCAAGAGCCGGTGGCGCTTCCTCTATCGGCGAAGAACTAGTTTCGTGGCCATGCTTTGGAACCTGATCGTTCGCAGGCCTAGAAGAAACGTAACGCGGTGTTTTCATGCCTTTATGACAACCTACACACCCGCGAATCCGTGCTCAACCACTTACGTAACTCGTGGTCTTGTACGGACGCAACGAGCTGCGTTTCAGGAGAACGAGACCGGCAACGCCAGCCAGCTCGAAGGAGCACGAGAGCAACAAGGAGAACGTTGATCGAGAGCGAGATAAAACGAACCTGTGCACCGCGTTAGGTGGACAAGCGAAGTGAATTCCGCGAGAGAAATGTAATACACGAGCTGCACCTTGTTCTTCGAATCGAGACGGAAAAGGAAACGAGTCTCAATCAGCTTGATCACACGCCACTGGAAAATCTTTTACCACACGCTGCGTAAACTATGATTTCTTTCGTCAAAAACCTAAATATCTTCTCTGCGATTTCGTCGATGCAAAATTCTCCAACGCATAAATAGATTCGTGTAAGTCCATTTTCAAAATTGCTTCGATGAGATTCCACGGAGACTTCGAGCAAACGGCAGATAATAGTCGATATGTGTAAGGCTGAATTTCAGACGTTTAATCAAAGTTTTATACTCGAAAGAACGTTCAACGAAGACTTCGCAAAATATGTTCGAATCAATCGTTCGAGTCCAAATAGCGTATCGAATGATCGAAACTGTCCGGCAAGATCTACTCGTAATATAATTGACTCTCGTCTCTAGTAAATAGCTGCAACGCATCAAGGTAAGATGCTAATATCCATTCGATCGTCTTCGTTATTTATTACGCAGGAGAATCGTATCGCGAAGCATTCGATTCGCGGAACGATGATGCGTTCGCGCTGGACGATCGTTTTCCCTCTCTTTTCCTCGCGAATATTAAATTTACAGGTCTTGCTTCCTTCGTTGGTACCGGTATCGATAAATTCCCCGCCGTTAATCGTATCCATAAATTTCTCCCGCTCTAAGAGCCGACGGATGAGACGAAACGTTCGAAGAAAATCTGCAGTCAGAAATAATGGGCTTTTCGCGATTCGTTTCCTGGCGCGAGGTGCTGGATCGAGTAACGATTTCTCAAGAGCCGGTGGCGCTTCCTCTATCGGCGAAGAACTAGTTTCGTGGCCATGCTTTGGAACCTGATCGTTCGCAGGCCTAGAAGAAACGTAACGCGGTGTTTTCATGCCTTTATGACAACCTACACACCCGCGAATCCGTGCTCAACCACTTACGTAACTCGTGGTCTTGTACGGACGCAACGAGCTGCGTTTCAGGAGAACGAGACCGGCAACGCCAGCCAGCTCGAAGGAGCACGAGAGCAACAAGGAGAACGTTGATCGAGAGCGAGATAAAACGAACCTGTGCACCGCGTTAGGTGGACAAGCGAAGTGAATTCCGCGAGAGAAATGTAATACACGAGCTGCACCTTGTTCTTCGAATCGAGACGGAAAAGGAAACGAGTCTCAATCAGCTTGATCACACGCCACTGGAAAATCTTTTACCACACGCTGCGTAAACTATGATTTCTTTCGTCAAAAACCTAAATATCTTCTCTGCGATTTCGTCGATGCAAAATTCTCCAACGCATAAATAGATTCGTGTAAGTCCATTTTCAAAATTGCTTCGATGAGATTCCACGGAGACTTCGAGCAAACGGCAGATAATAGTCGATATGTGTAAGGCTGAATTTCAGACGTTTAATCAAAGTTTTATACTCGAAAGAACGTTCAACGAAGACTTCGCAAAATATGTTCGAATCAATCGTTCGAGTCCAAATAGCGTATCGAATGATCGAAACTGTCCGGCAAGATCTACTCGTAATATAATTGACTCTCGTCTCTAGTAAATAGCTGCAACGCATCAAGGTAAGATGCTAATATCCATTCGATCGTCTTCGTTATTTATTACGCAGGAGAATCGTATCGCGAAGCATTCGATTCGCGGAACGATGATGCGTTCGCGCTGGACGATCGTTTTCCCTCTCTTTTCCTCGCGAATATTAAATTTACAGGTCTTGCTTCCTTCGTTGGTACCGGTATCGATAAATTCCCCGCCGTTAATCGTATCCATAAATTTCTCCCGCTCTAAGAGCCGACGGATGAGACGACGACCGATTGGTGGGGAGGAGTTCATTAAAAAGTCACCGATAATAAAGCATCCTACGGAGAGATTTTATTCGTCGAAGCATTACTTTGTCCCCGTTTATTTATCGCCACCAGGGACGCGCCGCAGGATCAGCAATGCTGGCAATTAATCCGATAAATCGCGACCACTTTTTATAATCTCTTTTTCCCCTGTTTTTCACGCGATGACCAATGTCTGCGACCTCGAAACCACTTTTCGTACTTCCTGCTCGATAAACCTCGCGAGTTGCCGATATTATGCCGATCAAATTCGTTGGAGAACCATGAAAATCTTACGGTGGCTGATCTCGAGACATTACCAACACGAGTAAGTGGGAGGCACCCAGGTGTAAACTCTGTTCAGACGGAAATTATTCTGAATGATACGCTGAAGTCCCCGAAGTCGTAATCAGAGATGGGTTATGGTGCGTCTCGAATCGTTTCCAATATAAATATATGCACGAAGGTTCGATTTACATAAAATTTTACTGGAAGCTCTGGAAACTACATATTTTGTAAAACGAGCAGCATGCAAAGAGTAAACTTTAAACTTAAATCGTTATACAACTCGCAGTGGAGAATTTCTACCAGCGGCTTCAGTGTCAGCGAAACTCCGAAGGGAACTTTCGTATGACAGCTCGATACGTAGCATCGAAAGCGAAGAAGATCCTTGGAAATGAATTACCGTCGCAGAAGAATCGATTTACCTCGACAAACGTCGCTGTCGTTCTCCGTGGAGGACATAGGCATCGTGTAGGTGGTCTGCTCGTAAGTCGGCTCGTCCGTTTGAGCGATCGAATCGGCGGACGCGAACAGAATCCTCAGCATGACAGCCACTGCGGCCGCCAGTTGAGCGGCACTGACTATCCTGGCCCACGACATTTTCGTTTTGCAGCTGCAGCTGTGAAGCTCGTCGTGGCCTGGCGTGGCTCGCTCGCTCGCTCGCTCGCCTCTTCACCGGGCTATTTCACGAATTCGTCCATCCTCGTTACTCTTCTCGGCGTTCTCATCGCGACGGTTTTACCCTGGAAACGACGCTACACGCGCGCACGCACGACGATACGCGACAGGACGATGGTCTCTCGAGTCTTCGGAAATGTCCATGTCCCCCTTGTCTCTCGAGTCCGTTACATCGTGGACCCGTGGTCCACGGGGAAGGAGTTCACTTTGCGTCGTCTCATGTCACCTTTACAGTTCGTTCGAGACCCCGGAACCGCCTCGACACCCGCACCATGCACCGCGACTGCTCTTGGCTAACCCGTTTCGCACCGAGATTTAGGCGATCATCCTCGATGCGCGAAGAACGATTGGACGGATCGGATTGGTTGTACCTTGAACTCCTGCAGGAACCAGCAGAAAAATTGTTGGAGGTGTATCGAGCGACGAGGATCGAAGCTAACGAAGCGGTGATTGCGTTCGCGCTGCATCCTCGTGGCCCGAGATACACCTCACGTCCACGCAACGTGATCGGAATATTAACGTGGCTCGAGATCGAACGGCTAGCCCAATTTGGTCTCCTCCCGACTGACCGCCTACCTCCCTCTTCGCCCGTTCTTCTCACCGCCAGAAACAAGAATGGCCAACGAGCGAGAGAAAAAAAAAGGCCTAAACTCGGATGTTAGACGGTCGATGTTCTCGCTCCCGTTGTCCTAATTGCCTCGTCGACCGCCTCAATTAGTTGGAATTATGACCTCGATTGTTTCTCGTCGGGCATATGTATATGCAAGCTGGCCAGCCAGAGAGCCGGTAGCAACAGCGGACGACGACTGGCGGCAGCAACGAGCGCATCAGGTTCGCTGCTCGCCCGGTCGCGCAGCAATAATTACACGGCCCCTCTGGAACGTTTTAAAACGGCTTCCCTTTATATTTTTAGTACGTCAAGACCAGGAGAGGGAGCTTACGCCTTCATGGAACTGTCGAGGATCTAGCGACGCGAGCTTCGTGCTGACGCAGAAAGGGTTGTCGAAATTTATGTCGTTTTCGTCGCTACAATGTTTTCCAGGAAGTTGTATCGTACTCGTAAAGTTGATGAATTTTAATTACCGTGTAACGATCGCGCAAACTCGTTGTAATTTGGGAAAATTAGGAAGCGTCTCTCCGCGTTCGCGAACACGTTCTTGCCCACTCCAATGGATATACTCGTAGCAAGAAGCACCCATCTTAGAGAGGCTCGCGCCGAGCTGCACCTGTTACCTCGGAATCGAAAGTGTCGATAGTTGACGGAATAAAAGAGTTAAACGGTGCGAACAGAGAAATGACTCAACCGATCGACGTAGAAGATCGAACGTTCATACTCCGGAAATAGAATGCAGTTTGAGACAAAGACGAATCGTTTGTCTCCGATTTGTTAGAGCGTGTGGCAAAACGAACGACTACTCGCAATTATGACTCACGACGATTGCGATATTAACCGCAAGTTAACCGAGAACCGGCCACAACGGCGCTGCACGCGTGCACGAGCAACACGAGCCTTGACATTTATACGTACGTCACGGAGAAACTCTATGCTCATCCTGATTGACCGGAAAGTTGGACCGGAGGAAACGCGCGCGTCCAACAGTTTCGACGGCTGTACGTGGAAAAACGTTTCCGCCGATCGCAGATGAAAATTCGAGTTCTCGCAATAAAGGATGACTCACTCGCGTGCCTAGCCTCGAAGTGTACACCTATGTACGTACGCTGGCTAGCATCGTTATGGTCACCGCTTCAAAGTACGCGGCAAATTCGTACTCGTAAAACGATCGAAAAATAGACGCAGCAACGAAAGTTGGAAAAATTTGCTAAAACGGTGACTCTGATCTTTCATCGGGAAATAAATGTTCCGATAAATTCGTTTCTAATCGAATACGCTGAAAGTGTTCGAAAGAGTTCGGAGAACGTTAAAACAAACATTATAGTGTAAATTTGTAACTCAATCGAATAAACCGTTGTTACGATTTCGAAGTAACTCATACGCCCTGTGTAAACCCGACAAGATTTATAGAACCTCCTAAAACAGTGTTTACACAACAGTCGACAAGGTTGTGCACGAGATACCACGAGTTTCTTCTGAAAGCTCCTAACTCGGCTAGGGCATACATAATTTTGAATTTTTTTGATCGTTTATATACTCGTTCTGGGAAAAGTTTCTTGGTATATCCGTAGGCTCGTTACCGTTTCAACGACGATGTCCTGGCCGCATCCGTTTCATCGGAAAGATGTCAGCTGGCCGGAAGAGCGAGAGACATGCTTCCGATTTCAATACCCTTCGCGACGAGAAACATTCGATTTGACGAGTGTTCGAAGAAAAACGCGCATATAACTGGGTCCTCCCAGAATCGAACTGCATTATGCAGCGTAGGTGTATTTGCATAGGTCGGTCGCACCGGTGACACCGTGTCGCGTGGGATCGTGCACAACGATCAACGGACAGACACGAATCGATTCGTTTTACGAGACGTCGTTCCGTAGGCAGACGGGAGATTGAACGGTGAAGGGTGTTGCCCTTTTGTCGACGACCGTACGGGTTCGTTTTAGCTGTCATCGTGGCCAAAATCGGACCGATCCTGCTCCGAAGGAAATTCTCGCGAAATAGATCGGCGCCTTTCTTCGGTGTGCAGCGAATAGAGTATATTTGAGAATAATTATCAAAGCGGATGACATTGACACGTATTTCGAGCGACGTCGACGAGCAGTTTCTCGCTTACGCAGTCAGGCTTCTGTCGATACTCGCAGAAGCGAAAGCAACGCGAATATTTTTCTAACGGTCGGTGTCAACGCACCACGAAGAAAACACGAAACGGCATCGTTCGAGAGAAATCGGAGAAATATTACAACGATGTCGGGACATAATGCGATCGTCGAGGGGAGAGCACACGTCCGTGTGGCCAATCGAATGCACCGTTTCAGCGTTATTTTGGCACCGCGCGGAGAACCCTTCACGCCATATCGACCCTTCAACCTCGAGCCACGATTCCGCCCACGTCGAACTCGCGCCGGGACTCGTGTACCGGCTC